AATTCTCTCAGGTGCAACTTCATATCAATGTAGTAACACTATTTCCTATTCTAAATTAACCTTGGCTGCTGCTAGCAGAAGGATCTCTGCAACATACATCACTGCACAATGTAAATACGTCCTCAACTATGTGTGTGCACATCAGGTTTTTTAGTCTATAATACCATTTGCAAATATTAGTATGCACAGTTGTGCTGTCTGTGTTTACAAGCTATAAAGAAAGAGGCTTAAGTGTTTATCCCCTTTATACACAAAGATATCCTGGATGTGTTCACACAAAACAGAAACCTTTCTCTAGATCCCATGTTCATCCTCTTTATGGTAAAGGACGCACATTATTTTTTCTGTAGAACTGTTTCTTACTCTGATTATTGCATGTCTCTTTCTGGTAAAATTGTCTTTAAGATTTCCTGGTTTGTGTGTGTGTTTGTTTGTTGCAGAACTTAAATGTGAAGTGACTGAATGAGGGAGATGTTGAAAAGAGCAAGGACAGTATCATCAAGCTGCTTGGGTACCACAAAGTTAATTTGTGATGCCAGTTAAAAGATTTATATCAAATTATAATCATGGTTTTTAACTGTGTGTTCTTCAATTTCTGGACAATCATCTTGAAACACTGAGACTGAATCTGCAGAAGTGGTGAGCATTCAGTTACTGCCAAAACCAATGAGAGTCATACTCTGAATATATAGCATTGCAGGTAATGCCAAATACTCTGAAAAAAAACCCCAAACTAACAGATCCCGAGCTGTCTTTAACTGGGTACATCAGGAAGGAGATAAATGACACTGAAGGAAGGAGAGGAAGAGAAGAATGCAAAGCAGCATTGACTGAAGGTAAATCTGGAGCAAAGAAACAGTAATGATACAGATGGCAGAAGCAGCCAGTCATGAGAAGGGTTATTTCATATGCAAAAATCCTGGGATTCCTTATGCAAAAACATCCTGAAATTTGGCACGGGAGTGGAAGAAAAGGTATGAAGGAAGGTATGGGCTAAAACAACACTGTTTAATGTCTGAATGTTTTATTACAGGGAAAACCCCTCATAACAGTGCAGCATTACTCAGAGAACTTGCGGTAATCTCACGTTATTGTGATACTAATTTTATCATCCACTTGACCCAGTCTACACCAGTCATGGCATTTCAGATCTTTCCCAGGAAAAGGAACTTGGTTAATGCAAGGGCATGGGTATATTTGACATGCAATACTTATAAAATGAGGTCTCAGCACAGGACTCAAAGATGTTCTGTGACTTAATTTCTTCCCAAAGAAAGTTGAATAAAATCAGAGATATTGTGCTCAATATATTTTACTTTCTGATCATATTGGCATAAACTAGCCTCTTATGCTTTAGCTAGGCAGCTTCTAATGCCTGATGTAACTAGTTATGCTTTGCTGGATTCTTCTAAATGGCACTGCAACCTTTGGAATTAACGGATAATGGAAGTAAAACCAGAAATGAATTCTAATCATATTACATATTACCCATTTCACAATAAATCACAGAGGCTGCAATGGATGTCAAAGCTCAGTCCTCTACAATGTTCAATGTAAAAGCAGGAGAACTACTCATGGCAATAAAAGAGGGTTTCAAATCTTGGGTATTAATGTGATTTGATTTTCAATTAGTTTTATCTAAGCATTTTGAAGTAAAGGAATGGAACAATAGTACCATGTTTGACTAATAAAGGACACAAAGGAGTTTTTTTCTTATTTTATTCTTTAAACATAGCTTTGCTTTACATAGACTATATTGTATCATACTATAAATATCTACTTCAACTGTTTGAAAAGCAGTTCATCTTCAAGTAATTAAGAGAACATCTATAATGTTAATCAACAACTACTGAGTAAACAACGATCAATTGCCTCATTTTTCACAAGAATTCTCCTCACAGAAACTTCCAGATAAGGACTGTGGGTTTGAATGGGCACAGATCAAAAACTAAGGCCTATCAGAATGGTATTGCAGACAAATGTCCCAGCACCAGTTCCGGAGCTTAAACTTGGCTTCAAAATCAGGCAAATGACCAGCCAAAGAAAAGCCCAGCAAACAGATCCCTGTTAACTTGCATTTTAGCACTGGGAAAGAGTAAGTGACAGTTTCTATCAATCACAAAAGTTTTTGCTCTTTCCTCGAAATGAAGCTACTCCAGTACAGCAGTAGGTGGACTAGACACCTTCTGTGTGTCTCTATGAGTCCATCATTTTGTCTCTCGGCAATATAAATGGAGACACTGATTTCAATAATAACTGCACCCAAAAGCTAGCCAGATTTTCTAGGTGTTATTTGATTCTACATAGAGGATGTATGAAGATATGATGGTTTCATTTTCTATTATAAAGATCCAAATTCAGAAATTGTGAGTAAGCTGCACAAATAATATAATCACCATGGAGAGACCACGAAAGATTAAAAAGAATGGATCTGAAAATGGTAACAACATTTTACTAAAATATTTTAATCAATTTAGTACTGCAGACACAGATAGAAGGAGTACCATCCCATAAAAAAAAAGAAAGTGAAGCTATAGAAAGAAGAGTCAGGGTTTTCAAATCAAATGCAATGTCAGAATAATTTATATTTCCAGTTAACATCAATAAATTGCTCAAATATATTGACAGTTCTGCTTATGCAGTTGACTGTACACTGGTTTAATCATAAACAATTACACAAATACAGACATGTTACTTTAGTCTTAAAAAAAAACTCTCGCAAGTCACTCATGTAGGTCTATTGAGTGAATCAGGGTGAAGCACAATTTGAAGAGGAATTACTTCTTTGAATAATTAGCAATACTACTAAATTGATTTATAAATATATGGAAAGCAGTTTTGCAAGTCTCATATTTTGACACATTTTGTAATAATTTCTGAAAAAAATCAGCACACAATAATGGAAGTTAACATAGCAAGAGGATTAATCAATGAAATAATCAAACCCCTGATTGAGTGTAAGGATAATGAGTTCCACAACATATAAGAGATTTGAGATTTTCAGCCAAAAATGCAGACCCAGGGAATCACTCCTGATGGTGCCTTAAAGCTCAGTCAAAGGGCTTAAAATCAGCTGTAAACCAGTTTCAGCCTAATTTGTGATGGCCATACAAAGGGAATCATCACTAGTGACCAAAATGGGATCTTTGAGAGGTCACAGTACTTCTCTGAACATGCAGGAAATGTTAACCTGCGTATGTAAAACCACAGCATAGCAACTGTTGATATGAATTGACTTTTCAGTGGTAAGCAATGTACTGATTCATAAAGCATATTTTTCTTCTTACCACAGAATCACTTAATAAGCTTATGTGTGTTGCCCAGCTGAGTTTATTATACTATTTTATAATTATTTTATGCACCAATTATATCTGTTAAAATTTTTCTTTTTCAGATCTTCATCCTGGAACTTTAATAATAACTGTTAGAGCTGGTAACTTTTCTCTTAAATTTTCACTGCATGTATTTCTGTATATACAAGTATCTTGTATATATGTATATGTATATATATGTATATATGTATATATGTAATGTTTTTCAACATTAAATAATAGTAAGTTAAATTCTACAGACTTATATGTCAATAAAATTGCCAGAAGTATAACTCATGACTGAAATTGACCAGTTCTCTTCCTCAACCCTTCCAATTTTATTTAGTTATATTGATTTAGTTTAAATTTTAATAACCAATTCTACTTTAAAAATGTTCAGGAAATAGAGCATCTTTTCTTGTTTCTCTTTACTGCTTAGCGGAAAAAATATGCCTTTTATTTCTCTCAATGTTGAAATTACTTCCTCAAATAGAACTACTACAATGGAGAGAATACATACTATTTTTCAGAAAAGGAATCCCAAATGACCATTTAGTCTGTCTATCCCCCTGCCCCAGGGTACTATCAACAGCACTTAGACAATTCCTGGGTAGTTTTTGTAAGCTCTTCTTAAGATGGACAGTCTTCTTGGGCAGCCTATATGAATACTTCACCATCTTTGCAAAAAGAAATTTTCTCCCAAATGGCTAACCTACACTTCATTCCCATTTTAAACCTAATTTTGTCTCGTCCTCTTGCCAGAGTGTATGGAGGCCATCCTTACAGGAACTGTTTGATCCCATGGAGGATTATGGGATCTGTCCTCCCACTGAAAGACTGTGTTTCTCTGCAGCCCAGGGTAACATACTATAAAAGGTTAATTCACCAAGGTAATATAGCCGCAAATAAATGTATTACCATATTCATAAAACATTTGTTCACTAACTGTTCCTAAGATAAGGAACATTCCAGAGGACATTCCTGCAAATCAGTCTTCTTGTGTCACAAGAGACAGCAATGACCAAGAAAATAATTCTTTTTCATTGTAGATAGAATGAATCTTTTTTTTTTTTTATGGTGAAATAACACCAGGAAACAGCTGAAGTAGCACTAAAACTGCCCATATGAGAAGACAAATACCTCAAGGAAAGGTCCATATCAATGATGAAGGATTTTCACTGCATAACTCTGTATAGTGCCTGGCCTGTGGACCAATGCTGACCTTAGACAGCGTTTGATTTCTCCATTTTCTCAGGCATAGTAGCTACATAGACAGGTGCGAAACTTATTAAAAACTACTAGTCAGACGGAAATTCCTTGGGGTTTTTTTTTTTTTTTTTGAGAAGTTAAATTGCCATCATTTACCATAAGTTCATGCTCAAAAGTCACTTAAAAATCCCTTCAACTTTATTTATCCCATAATATATAAGAGTTTGGGAAGACTAAGTCTGAGCAAAAATTCTTCCTGCTCACTTCTTGACACTTCATCAAAAAGATCTGCAAAAGAAGACTCCTCCTAGAGTGCAAATACAGAGGGAATATCAGAGCATCCTCTATTTACCCCTGCACCTGCAAAGGAAAACTAAAACGTCTGAAGCCCCACCTTTTAAGAACCTTGTGAAACAATCTGGGAACTGAGCCAAAATCTACTCTCGCTATATAAGGCTCAGGAACAGACAGGTATTTCCTCAGAGGCAGGTTGTTCGGTAGTTTCTACCGGACTTCCAGAAGATGGGTACAGGTGGTGGGATGCGAATACCGCTATGGATATCAATAATAACACTTGCCTTCATACAGATCAAAGGTAGGAAGATTCACTTGCTTGGCATTTTTACTGTTTTAAAGAATTTATAACCTGCTTTGGAGTTTGAAACATTTTTTTCTGGGCTTTGTGAAGCTAATGAACCTGTTAGCTTTATGCAAGGTTTTCTTTTCTATTACAATACTTTCCATCCTAAAATGAGGAAAATAACTGTCTTGAAAGCTTATATTGTAGTCCATGTTTGCATCCTATTTTCTCCAGTTGAAATAATGAACAGCTCCACTCAGTTCAGTGTAACTCACTCAGAACTTAAACTCCTACCAAAATTCATCAAGATTTGCATCTATCTTTTGATGTTCATTTCAAGGTGATACAGCATTTCTAAATGCACAAACCAAAAGGCGCAAAAGTAGCTTTAGGAGGCAAGAAATCCATGGAGTCTGTCTGCATGCATGATTATAAATTTTGTTTGTTTATTAGCTGACGATACAGTATTAAAAAAAAAAAAGAGTGATTTTGCTTGAAAAGCACTGGACAACAGATTTTAAAAGTTCATTTATTTGTACACATGAGGTTGCATAAAAGCTTAGAGCACAGGGTTGGTTTTTGATCAGGTGAAAACAAATGGAGTTGCCTTAAATATTCGAAGAGGGCATTAACACGCACAGATTAATGGAAATCTTTTTACATATATTTCACCTGTTAGTTTCTCTTAAATTTAAGGCAAGAGTGTTAGGTTTTAGTGCATTTTGATATCAGACAGAGATCCTATTGTATTATTTTACATTTTTCTGACTTTCAGGTAGTTCACACTAACTTATGTCAAAAAGTGGTAGTGTGAAAGAATAGCCCATCAAAAGACTAGATGTAGCATTACAACACCATGCAATGGAAATGGGTATCTGAAAAGAATATGGGGTGAGGCAGTGTTGGTACCACACAGTGCGTGGAGAGAGAAGCAAAAAATTCTCTGAGGCTAGGCAGTGGACAAGAGAAACCCAGCACTGAATAGTTCATAGCTTAAGAACAGGCACAATGCATCCTTCCAACACCAGCTGCAGACCCACAGGTGGTGCAAAAAGGAAGGGACTTAAGGAGCTCTCTGCAGATCTGATTTCAGCATTAGCTCCTCTAGCAGTACTCCCCACGGACTGCCCTTGTAGGATGCAGCAGAGGGTGAGCCTGCCTGGTTGATTTTCTCCAGCCAGCACTGCCTCACCTGCATCACCCTCTGATGACCTAAACAGCGCATTAAAAGCCCCTCTGGCCCCTGCAGCTTTTGTATGTATTCCTAGTCTGATAGGAATTCTATTGTATTCCTATTCTGATAGGAATTTTCTCCTCCTCACACACATGCATGCTCCAGGACTTTGTCTGCATTTTCCTGGACCATTTGGTCATCCCTGACCTCAGAAAAGTGAGTTTGGAGAGGGATGTGTGCTGGCCCTCCCCTTCTTCCATGGGGATAGTCACAACGGTTGCTTTGCCTCATGCAGCACCACCAAGACTCAGTGCTGCTCCTGGTGAAGAGGCAAAATATGGGTCATAAAGTCAGTGGAGGGGAATACACACATTTTTCATTCCATTCTATTGGAATGAAAATCAAAAGTCACAAATAAATCTATTGGAAAGATCTACATTTTTTCTGTGTGGTTTTTACATTAATTTTCCTACTTCTGCTTATTACAAAAAGTGCCTGAAAGTGTAAAATACAGAGTAACTTCGGCTTTCAGTAAGAGAGGACAGAGATCAGTCCTGTAACTATAATGCTTTCTGTACAAAAGAGACCTATTTTTAAAGCCCTCTGGCTAGACTAAGGGATTTACTGATTCTTAAAGCACACAGTGATCATAAAAAATTAAGAAAATGAAGCCCTTTTTCTGAAAAGCTTATAAGGGCATCCAGGAGCATTGTGGCAGGTCCTAATGCAAACCTGACTTCCTGTACATTAAGACAGCTTTGCCAATTTTTGTTATACTGACTGTTACATGTTTAAACAGATATAACTGAGAAATGATGAGGGAACTCAAGAAAATTGTACACTAACATTTTCCTCCTACACTCTTCTTGACGTAGTTCAAGCCCAGGATGATGAGCAACAAACAAAATCAAACTATGCTTCTCCATCGATCCTGCAGCGACAAAAAAGTAAGTACTTTTATGCTGATCTACTTCTAAAATTCTGTCTCAAATGAAATTGAAAAATAGTAAGATTGCTAGAATCTTCTTATTCCTAGCTACAGCATACTTTCCCTTCTTCCCCCTGCCCCAACCCCCTCCAATAAAAAAAAAGGAAGGGGGGAGAGAAATTCTCTGCACAACATACCCAATTTCCAACCAATCTCTGACTGCTCTAAACTGGAGAACTTCCTCTGAGATATGGCCCAGTGGATCTAGGCTACTGATATGATACAGTTATCTAATCTTTAACTTAATGAAAAGTACATACCTTCTATCTAAAACTGTATTTTCAGAAAAGGTGTGTGCATACATATATATCACCAATGTACTTGGATAGTAGGTGAAAAAGATACATTTTTTTAATGCTGTGTCAACATGACTGCATTATTTATGAGAGAATAAGAAAACTGCAACTACTTTAAGCATTAGAATAATTCAGCACTACAAAGTCATGCATGACACATGGCACGACACATACAGGGCAAACACCGTAACCATACACAGCAAAATAAGGGTGGAAGTATAAATGCTAACTGGTGTATTAATGGTGGCAGACTGAAACAATGATTAAGACTGCTCTGAAGTCTGTAATTTGTGAGGTCACTAGCTGGCAATTAAAATAGTGATACACCCAAATTGGAAGTGTAGCAAAAATAATTTAATAGTGAGTATATTTAATTATTGGAACAGATTGTCAAGGAAGGTAATATTTGCGCTGCCCCTTAAAATCCTTACATCAAGATTAAATGAGATTGTCTTTCTAAAGCATGTATTTGTCTTAGTGTTACTTTTTGTTCTAAACACAGAAGCCAATGACTGATGTTGCACAATCTACAGTTTGGAAGTCATCAAATTCTGTGATTTTGATATTTTCAAGGGAGAATCTGCATCAATTCCTCAGACTCTCATGTTAAGAAAATCACATTGCAGGTTCTCTAAGTATTTTATCCCTTTCATTACCAGATCTAGAGAGATAACATGGGATTTGAATGCAGAAAATTTAGGGCTGGATCCTACCAATGGAAGACTTTGCATGAAAAGCACATGATCAAAGTTTCTCAGAATTTCAACTGCTTAAAAAAAAAAAAAAGTCTGCTTAGAGCTGGTTATGCAAACATACATGTCTCAGCACAAGAAAGATAAAAGCTTCATAAAATACCAGCTCCTATTTCTCATCCTCAGCTTCCAATATCCTTCAGTAACTTTCTGCTCCTAGATGTACTGAGAAGCAAAGGTTCAGGCATAGACATTAGCTCCACATTTTCTGCATTGCTGAACACTATGCTTTAAGGATCAGATTGCTGCTTTTCAGTTCAAAACTTTAGGGCCAGAACATCAGATGTGAGTCTTGGACAAATGATGGAAGAAAGTACTACAACCAAAGAGCATTGTCTTTGGCATTTAGTTGTTAGTGAAGTATACAGAAAGCCAGAACACAAAGCACTATGTCAAAAACATCATTAAAGCTTGGTGGAAACTTACCCCTATAGTGTAGCTAGTACTAGGAAATGTTAGTCACTAAAGAGACTGGGTAATATTTATTCATTTTTTAGTATTTCTATTAAGATTAATCTTAACAATTTTTTCTCCCTTAGATTTTCCACCAGCTTCAAAATCCCAAGAAGTGACAATCATTCCACCATTTCAAAACACACTGAGATTAAAGGGTAAGTTAAACAATCTGTCATAGTTCAGATAATCACACAGGTGATCATGGAGTGAATGAAGAGATTAATAAATCATGTAAGACCCTTCAGCATAATAGAATAAAAAATGAACATGCAAATTAGTCATGTTATCAGGTAACAAAGATAATCCAAATATGACTCCAGTACCCAGGCCTACATTTTGTTAATATGATGCAGCTGTTAAAAAATTACATATATCTAAATATAATACTTGGATAAATCACACACCGTACTTCCATTAAAGAGAGGGAACTATTAAAGTGTTCAAAAGACTGGTGGGACACCTAATTTAGAGTATAGTGTACAATTCTGACTAGCCACGTTGAAGCAGAGTGAGTCTAAATCTGGAAGGATGCAGAGGGGGACTGTGAAGATAATCAGGAAGATAGGAGAGCCTGCTTGTAAGGAAATAAGGACTGAAAAGAGATAAGTGACTCCTTTAATGAGTGGTGGAAAGAGCAGTGAGGTGGAACCACTTCAAGGTTAAGTGTAATACTGGCAGAAGAACAACCAGGCTTACATGAGACAGGAATGTTTTAGAAGATGCTGGCAAAAAGTCTTCCAGCCATTTAAAGGGTGTGGCTATGAGTGGCCTTCCCTAGTAGGAGTACCATATAGTTTTAAAGTAAATTTAAACTGGTTTTATGGTGAAACTTTAGAACTTCATATATTTAGGAAAGGATTTATAGAATATTGCTGTCAGGAGAACCAGAGCACTGAGCACAGTGACCCAGGAGGTCTCTTCTGATCTTAGGCTCTATACTGAACTAAATAAGTAACAGATTGATAAACAAAGAGTTCAACAAGAAGGAAAATAAAAAATAGGCTTTTGAACAGAGGCTAGTGGAAGAAATAAGAGGGGAAAGGCAACTAAAGGGAGGGTTTCTGCAGCAAATTACAGAAAATTCTTACTGCTTATTTTGAATCCATAGCTGGCAACCCCTCTCACAATGGCCGTGTGTGCAGCACATGGGGTAACTTCCACTTCAAGACCTTTGATGGGGACATCTTTTACTTCCCTGGGGTCTGCAATTACATCTTTGCATCCAACTGCAAATCTCCCTATGAGGACTTCAACATCCAGATTAGACGTACAACAGTGGAAAATGCTACCATGATCACGCATGTCCTCATGAAGCTGGAAGGAGCAGTGATTGAACTGACCCGCGGCTCTGTCCTTCTTGATGGCAAACTGTATGTTCATAACTTGAAACTGCTATCACTGTTCTTGCTCCCAGTAGGCATTTTGAGTCAGCACCCCCTTCCCTCCTCTGATCTCACATTTTTCCCAAGCAGCTGGAGGGCTCAGGTCTTTCCTGAATTATCAACAAAAAAAAGTGCCTGACTAAGCTAATTGCTACTTATGAAGATTATCCGTGTCCCATTTGTTCAGATGAGCTATATCCCTAATGCTGCCCCACTGCGACAATAACGTATGTTTACAATTGAGTCTATAAATTGGATTCAGTCAAAGTGTTAGGTTTTTACACTCTCTAGTTTCTACTTTACATTATTTCAACCAGAACAGGATCCTTGAGAGGAATTTTTGATGGCTTTCCCCCTTGGACTGAACCACAGGCAGTTAAATAGCGACTGCAGCTTGTACCTGCACTCATTTAAAACGAGCCTCTCTGGAAATTTGCTATCTATATAGCAACAGTAGCACTGACTTTGGCACAAGGTGTGAAACTTGCCCAAGAGGCTGGGTCAATATTTGGGCAGATATCCCACAGTGAGTTGCGTATGATAGCAGCTATGTACAGTGAGCTAGTCTAAAGGTTATCTTAGTACACCTTTAATGGCACTCATGTCACAGAAAGCCTAAAGAGTCTATCCCTTTATTATCACCGGCTTTAAGGAGTAAATAGCAATACCATGAAGCATACTGCCTGCAAAACAGAACCTCCCTGCAGTTTTCTGAACAATACAACTAAAAACATATGCCAACATTTTACCTAGCCAAACACCGTTAACAGAGATAACCAAAAGGAGCAAGGAAAGCAGGACTGATCCATTTGCACAATGAGAAGCAATTGTATAGGAAACAGACAAAACACTACTCACTTGTGCTGTCTGTATTTAGTTACTGTTCTAATATCCTCACTTATGTGTGTCAAGGCTTCTCAAAGAGAATGACAAAGGATATCGGTGTGGATATTCAGTGGGTATTCTGGCCCTACCTCAGCTGAATTACAGTGATCTTTCCCCAGGGTTCAGATGCCCTACAGCCATATGGGAGTCTTGATAGAGAGAAGTAACAGCTATTTGAAAGTTTCTGCCAAGATAGGACTGACCTTCCTTTGGAATGAAGAAGATGCCCTTCTGGTAAGAGAACATCCAAAATTTGGCGGAAGGCCTGTATTTTGAAAATAGGCTATTTATATCTTTGCAGTCTTAATCAGCCAGGCAGGCAGTTACTTTGGGATTTGTGTCCAGTTTTAGTGTATTGCTCTGTCTTCCAGTCTTCTCCCAGTTACCCTTTTTTTTTTTTTTTGGCCCACCAAGCTCAGCTCAGGATCAAAACGTCCCGTGATGTGGCTTAGTGGTAGACTTGGCAGTCCTGGGGTAACAGTTGGACTTGATCGCAAATGTCTTTTCCAACCTAGCTGATTCTGTGAATAGACTTCCAATGGTAACATTTCCACATCACAGTGAAGTACTCCCCTGATCGCAGACCTGGCAACTTGATGATGTTCACAGCCCCAGGGCTAGGATAAGACCAAGCTTTTCTTGGCTGCCACTGACCTCGCCAGTGGTGCCTACCTTGTTACAACAATCACACAACACAGTCTGCACAGAATACATATGCCAACTTTTGAGTACATAGGCAATATTGATGTAGGCTGTGTTCCTAAAAATCAAGGCTGACATTGCTATGAACTTAAGCTCTTTCCTCATTTCTTTCAGGTGGAACTAGATAAGAAATACGCCAATCAAACTTGTGGACTTTGTGGGGACTTCAATGGAATTCCAGTCAGCAATGAATTTATTTCAGAGAGTAAGTAATAAAAAGCATTATTAAGTATTGGTGTTCTGGTTTTCTTTCTTTCAACAGTATACTGTAACGTAATTGTGGATCACATTGATGGCAAAATTAGTGCTACTGCTTTATGTATTTCTATGATGTCAGGACTTTGAGATGTATTAGATTGCTTCCATCACTTGAATCTTGTAAGACCTGTCACATGCAACTTTTTATGTGTTTTCAGTAGTTAGGATCCAGTTCCTTGTATAACTTATTCACCCACTTCTGCCTTTCATATTACAGTGATATTACTTGGTAATCACCGTTCATGTCACAGCTGGTAGTGTCACAAATGAAAATATATCCATGCAAAAGCTAGTAAAAAAAATCTTATTCTAATATTTGGACTGCTTTTTACAGAGACAAGGCTGACTCCCATACAGTTTGGGAATAGACAGAAGATTGATGGACCCATAGAGCAGTGTGCTGATCCTGCTCCTTCTGCTGTTCTAATGAACTGCTCAGCTGAATTTGTAAGAACCCCTCTCTTAAAATTTGTTTTCTCAATATAAAATACATTCTCTCTGTCTTTGGAGAAAATTTGTTGGAAAGTGAAAAAAATGTAACATGAAAATGACTCAACAGCAGGTTCAGAGGGAAATTTTTTCTATTTTTTTTTTTTATTCTTTGCTAAAATGAATTCTAAAAAGTTTCATTACCCTTTAGAGAAGACTGGATGTTTTCATGAAAGAGAAATTCATTGAGGATCTCTTAATATAAAGAAATTGTATAATGCTTGGGAAACCACCTGACCTGAGACTAACTCAAGATATGCGAAGATGTGGGAGTTAATCAAAGGAGTTCTACATGTACTTGCCCTATTATTAGACTTTTCCCTAAACATCTGCCTACAGCTACTGTTGGACAGGTTTTGGACCAGATGAACCTTTGGTTTGTTCTGCTACATGCCTTAACAATTAGTTTCTTATTTTCTAAACACTTGTTTTACTTTATTTACCCTTCTAGGCTTCTATCTGTGAGACAGTATTAACCAGTACAGCATTTACAAGCTGTAATGCACTTGTGAATATTCAGGACTACATTGAAACTTGCATACAAGACTTATGCCACTGTGATAGCTCTATGGCTGACTTCTGCATGTGCAATACCTTTGCTGAATACTCCCGGCAGTGTGCTCATGCGGGTGGACAGCCTCTGAACTGGAGAACCTCAGAACTATGTCGTAAGTATCTTGGAAAGGGACTTTCACCTGTGCTTACTACCCATATCTAGTAACCTTCAAAGATGTCTTGGTTTTGTTTGGATGGTTGTTTTTCCACAAAGAAGCCAACCATTTAAAAATGCATGCGATTTTCATTAAATCATCTTTAATCTGAAGACTTTGGAAATAGGGAAGTTTAGAGGATTTTGCATTATTAATGGTTTTCAATATATATCAGAAAGTCTGAGATGTTGCAGCCTCCACTTGGATCAGGATTCCCCTTTATATCTTGACAGAAAACAACCCAAATTACAAATACTGTTTTCTCAACATTTCAAAGGAAAAGTTGGCATTGTAATACTCTTTCTACTTTCAGCCAAATCATGTCCTTTCAACATGCAATATCAGGAGTGTGGGTCCCCCTGCTCTGATACATGTAGCAACCAGGAACGATCTGCACTTTGTGAAGACCACTGTACAGATGGCTGCGTCTGTCCTCCAGGCAAGCTTATTTCCTGCCCTTTTCTCATAACCAGAACCACCATAACACCTGTACACATTTAACAACTTTCCTACTCTGTCATTCTCATCACATCACCATTGTTACTATCATCAAACTAATAACTACATTTCTTCCTTGACACACAAGCACCATTTCTATTGAGATTACTCAAACTACCCTTTTAAATGATAAACATGCCTGAGACATGTACATAATGACTGAACTGAGAATAAGATACTTCACCTCTAACAATAAGGGTATGTCTTCTATTCTCAGCATCCGCATTCAGTTCAGAGAAAGTACATCATATGAAATCCCATTTTACCTACAGTGATAAATCCTGGTGTTAAAAAAGCTGTGTCTGGTTTCCCACATTACCAACCCTTTCTGTCCAGTGCTGCATGTCTAAACAAGGAACAGAGAGAGCACTAGGCAGTGTGTAAAATCTGGCACCTCAAAGAGTTACGCAAGAGAACTGAGTAGAAGTACAAGACAAACAACGCAAATGTGTTCTCTTTGTGACATTTACTTCTGGGACTGAGAATTGTTGCTGTCGTGATTGACTCCATGGTAGGATCTTCAGCCCTTGCAGCTTTTCTGCCCATCTTTCAAAATGTCTTGCAGAATCCACCGTAACTTTTTTTGTATAATTTCATCAACTTCTCTTAGATAAACCTCTGCCTTTGCGTATAGAACTATTTACTGTACAAATAGTATACGTACTGTTACATATGTCCCTGGGCAATCTTATGAATGGTTTATATATTCCACCTCATTATCTAGCAATTTTAATCCTAATTCCATTCTAATGAAGCCCATAACAGAAAGGTATTTCCCTACAGATCTCTTCTGATCACTCTAAGATTGTAGATAAGCTTCAATGGAATATAGCCCTTCAATCCCTACATAGTTTGCATCCTATTAAAGTATTTTCATTTTTCTGTGCAATACAGAAGAAATTTAACATATGCTTTCAGACATACAGACAGATACAGGCTCTGAAGTGCACAGAATGTGTAACAGACCATTTCTTTCCCTAGGAATGGTATTTGATGATATTAATGGTGCTGGCTGCATTCCCCGTAAAGAATGTCATTGTACCTATGAAGGTGAATCTTATGCTCCGGGTGCCTCCTTCTCATCTAAATGCAGATCATGGTAACATACTCCCTTTCTCATACTTCTTTTTTATAGATGCATTACCTGAACTTTTTGAAGACAGGGAAAAAATTACTAATTTCCCTTTAAAAATAAATGAGGAATGACTTACCAGCTGAAGAAGTTCTTTACTATGAGGGTGGTGAGGCACTGGAACAGGTTGCCCAAAGAAGTGGTAAATGCTGCATCCCTGACAGTGTTCAATGCCAGGCTGGACAGAGTCTTGGGCAACATAGTCTACTGTGAGGCATCCCTGCTCATGGCAGGGGGCTTGGAATTAGATGATTTTAAGGTCCTTTCCAACCCTAGCTGTTCTAGGATTCTATGATTACACATTTTTAGAGGATATTTACATCTCTCTTTTCTCCAGCACTTGGAAGCAAATATCTTCTCAGTGAGGGTGACGGAACACTGGAACAGGCTGCCCAGGGGGGTTGTGGAATCTCCTTCTTTGGAGACATTCAAAACCCGCCTGGACACGTTCCTGTGTAACCTTATCTAGGTGTTCCTGCTCTGGCAGGGGGATTGGACTAGATGATCTTTTGAGGTCCCTTCCAATCTCTAACATACTGTGATACTGTGATTTGAGTTTAGATACAGGCACTCCAATTTCAAAACCAATCAATTAAAAGAAACAATCAAATTCAAACATTTGATGTGTTTAAAAATGTGAATTACTGTGTTATATACTTTGTAGCACTAAAGTGTAATGCTAGGGTGCTCATAGAAATACTATGGAAGTTGTGACATTTAGCGATATATTGCATTAAGCAGAGTGGGAGATCATATTTAAGAGGCATGTTTGACAGGTATGTTTTTTTCAATATCACTATAATTACTGAAGTATTATTGCTCAAGTGTAGGTACATTTACTTATGTATCTACAAATACAAGCACCACAAACATGAATGTTATATTTCAAGAAATACTTAACATTTCTAAAGCTTGAGCTATGCTAATAGAGATGACTGGCAATCTTTCATACTAAGGAGAATGGATGCCAGGTTCACCAGGACTGAATTTTGCACAAAGGCTGGAAATGAACAGCAATATATAAAAAAATCATCATTAATATAATTGTGCCTGCCCCATACTTTTTTTGAGATTTCAAAGTAATGCTGTTTATTTCAAAATATGATCAATTCTTCAAGAGGAAAATTAAAGCATCGATTGTCATTATTATCTCTCATTTCACTTACACTTGCATTATGCAAGTTTACTGAATGCCTTCTTCGTTTCAGTACCTGTGCTGGAGGTGAATGGTCTTGTGTCACCCAGTCATGCCATGGAACTTGCAGTATTGAAGGAGGCTCCCACATCTCAACATTTGATGAAAAATATTATTCCTTCTTCGGAGACTGTAGTTATGTCCTAACCAAGGTAAAAATGAGTCACAATCCTTGCTAAAGAAATATGCTAAAGGAAAATGGTTTTATTATATTTTTTTTTTATTAAAACTGGCAATCACATCACTAAATAAACATATTGTAGTAGTTTTCTATTCTTTAATCATCATTTAAGAACTGCAGATATTTTAGGTTCCATGAAACAATCTCAGTGCTTCCCACCAATTTTTTAATTATATTAAATAGATTAGTCAAAAGCAATGAAACTTTTTGATGAGATTCACAAGCACTGGGCTCGATCTACAATTGAAGCAAGAATCAAGCTTACTCGTTAAAGTCCCCTTTTGGTACCAACATGTAAAATTAGATTCTCGGAGGCTGTAGAGGTACAGAAAAATCCTAAATTCAGACACAAAAGGTCAAGAAGCCTATGATTTTAACACTAAATTTCCAGGTGGCTGTAATTCTGCATCTCAGCTGTTCTCAATTTAATCTTCATTACACCACAAAAGGGATAAGGCATGTTCAGAATCACAACCTTCTGCATGTTTCCCTGTTATGTCTTGGCCATTAGGCACACTTTGAATATAGCTGCAGGTCACAGTCCTATGAAAATTAGATCTGAGAGAAAAAAAATCAAATTTTTGCCCTTATTCAGTATCTTAGTGAATTAGTAATTTTTTCCTATGAGAGGATATTTAAATTCATATTTCCTACCTGTTAAAATAATGTCCAAATTACCAGGTTCTTTGATAATTTATTCAGTGCAGAAGGGACTGGAAACAAGTTCTTTCCTCCCCCAGGTAAACACCATGACCAATGGGAAAGAAAGGCACACTTCCTTCTTCTCTAGTATATTAAACTAGTATTACCTAAACATCAGCAAGTTTTAATGTTCAGTTTAATATGCCTAACTTGCCTTTGGATGCCAGAAGTAATGGATAGTGATGTGGTGACTCTATACATATATGTAAGAATGCGTGAGCAGGAAGAAATGGAATATAAATCATAAAGTGAAGACTCACTTTACAAAGAATACTATTTAAGTGTGAACCTCCTTAACATAACAGTATTTTAATTTAACAAGTCATTTTAACAGTGTATTTTGTTATCTTCTTCGAGCTCTGTAATGGCAATGAATTCACTGTTCTGGGAGATATCTACAAGTGTGGCCTGACTGACACTGAGACGTGCCTAAAGGGTGTAACTGTCAGCCTAAGTGGAGGACAAACTGTAAGTAGCAAATGTAGACAACTAACATCCTGCTGAGATGTTTTCAAAGCTTAATAGACAAACAGTTTGCAAATTATACATAAGAGCACAGACAGGAATTCTGCACAGGTTTTTCATTTTTATCTCATTTGTACATTATTCAAAGAAAATTTAAGAACAAAGTAGGTGCACTGGAACCCAAAATCCTAGTAGTTTTCTGTCATTTAGTTATCTTTGGGCTTTTGATTCTTTTGATTAATTATTTGGACAGTCAATGGACCACAATAATAAACATCAGATAAATAGTATAGGAATCAGAACATCATCACAGTCTACCCCACTGGTTTGGGGTTTTTTTTTTGCCCTTATCCTGAACAAGACTAGATAGAAAACATTTATCTTTCCTAAATACATTTGATAATCATTGCCTTTTCTTGTGGACAGAACATTGTGATCCAGCCTTCTGGCAGTGTATTTGTAAACATGATCTACACACAGCTACCATTCTCTGCAGGTAAGTTCCTTTGGAAGACTTCAGTAGTGTTTCTTGGTTTTGATTTTAAAATGTTATTACATCAGTTAAAGTAAAGCAAATTTTCTTCTTTGGTTACACTGCAGCAAACTCAAGGTACGCCAGTAGTGCACAGTCTCTCATTTTTTACAGTAGTAGGGTTTCCTTACTCAACTCTTATAATTTTAGCAAAAGTTTGGACTAATTTTAGCAATATCTAATTAAATGGCGATTCAAATAAATAGTATCACTGCACACTTCCAGATCCAAGTACTGCCATCAGAGAGAAAGGAAAAATGTTGATATGCAAAATAACTCCAATATCTGAAGTTGTTTAGTTCCCTGTGTTCCCTCTGTCCCTTTATTTGGTGCACATTCATCATTGGAGAGTTCCTTCCATGTCAGTTCTTCTCAGATACTACTGCACCTGAACAGAAAGCAAACTCTGGTTGGAGTCTTTTAAATAGTAACAGAAGTGTGCGTTCTTCCCCTTATTTTAAAACACTTAGCAGAAAGTGGCGGGTTTTAATACATTTGTTGTTTAAGGTAAAGAGAGCCTGGTTTTGCACTGGACTTGAAATTCTGTATACATAACTTTCCCCCCATTTCTTCAGATATTAAGGTCCCATCAAACACAGCTATAGAAGCTCTACATAATGAATAGTTATTTCAACTGTTCATCACATATGAAATTACAACTCTTATTTTCTTATGACCCTAGCAAATGTCACCATCTTTAGACCATCATCTTTCTTCATCATTCTGCAAACGACCTTTGGTCTTCAGCTACAGGTTCAGCTCGTGCCTCTCATGCAACTTTTTATAGACTTAGACCCGTCACATAAAGGGCAGACCTGTGGTAAGTGATCTTATCGCAACAACTGCTTTCATCAGTATGCTTAATTCTGTAGCAGACTTTCAGAACCTATCTGCTTCCTTTTAGGTCTCTGTGGTAACTTCAATGACATGCAGACAGATGATTTCAAAATTACCAGTGGTGTAATAGAGGGTACTTCAGCTGTCTTTGGCAATACCTGGAAAACACGGGCCAATTGTCCTGATGTCGAAAATACCTTTGAGGACCCATGTACTGTCAGCATACAAAATGGTAAGCTCACTATAAAGAAACCTTTTCTATTCTCTTCTAAGATGCAAAGAAGGAAGAAGCTGATCAACCACCAAGCACTTAGCCAAAGTAACAGTGGACCATTGACATGCACACTATTTTCCTCAACTGACACACTAGAAGTTTTCAATTAATAAATAATTAATAACTAGGATAATATTTTGGATCTTCAAAAATATTCCTTTGGATAAAGACAGGAGGTGGTTTTGACAGCTTAAGAGAAACCAGAACCATACAGCGTATCAGTGATCCATTCCTGGAAAGGACTGACTGTCATATAGGAAATAAATATGCACATATCCCCAGTGAAATTTGCACTCAGCATGATTCTTCCACTGTTAAACTGAGAATCAGACTTACAGTTCAGAGATTTGTACCTCTCAGACTCTGTTTCAGCTAATGAAATACATAATTTTTGAGAATTCACAAGCCACTCTCCTGTTTACTGAGGTGAACTAGCATATTTTTAATTCACAATGTGCACCTCTTTTGCAAAATTCAGCTAACCATGTCTTAGTTTATTCCATGACAACTACCATAAACTAAGAGCATTCCGTTTACAAAGAGCTCGTATTTCTGTATAGAGGGAGTGAAAGTCTGTTTGTGTCTCAGCAAATGCAGAGCAGAATTCTATTGTAAAGTTAAGCTTCTGCAATTTGCCTGCAGGAAGTATAGTTACACTAAGACAAGAGTATGGACAATGAAGTGCAACAGAAATTCTTACCATGTTTTCAATTCACAGACCAGTATGCTCAGCACTGGTGTGGACTGCTGTCTGACACCATGGGACCTTTTGCTGAATGTCACTCAACAGTGAATCCAGAAGTTTACCAGAAGGTACTTGGCCTTTAACTTTTCCCCATTTAAAAGAAAAAGACTCAGATTCCTGATACTAACCCCTGAGAGAATGACTTGCCAATTCAGAGGAGATGCATTCATGATGATTCTTTTCAAGCCAAGGGTTTTAATCTAAACATCATAATAATTCCTCCTTTGTAAAGGTATCTTTACTTCCATTCCCAGGAGGATAAACTTAACAAGTGTGTTCCTGCTGCCCTTTTTTTAGGTACTAATCTAAATGCCTAATCTATGACCTTGAACTCCGTAGACGTCTTACCAGGTCAAAGGTTAAAAGCTGTCCCTCCTGAGACATAAGGAAAGCTTCAGTCAAGAGTCTTAACTAGCACGTTACTTAGTTGCCCCAAACTGCTCTGAGAAAGTTTTTGTATATGTCCAAGACAAGGCAAGAAATGCAAGCAAGAAGCAGCAAAAAGATTTAGATGACATGTGAACAAAAATGTTTAAGGAATTCAAGGTGATGAAGCTCTGGAACAGTCTGGGAACTTACGAAGTCTCCCTTTTATTAGTAATCTGCAAGATAATATGTAAGAAACATCTTCTGGAATGACAATATTTTAGTGACCTTGCCTGGCACAGCAACACATTATATGACTTACTGTTTTCTTCATTCCTCTGAGGCAGAGAGCCCAAGCACTCAAGCCTAAGTCCCAAAGTTGGAAAATCTATCAACTGAAAAATTAAAATAAAAAAAAACAAGAAAAAGAAAAAACAGTTTAAATTTGTGGACCTCTAGTTACTTTCTCCTTGCAAAGAATCTCTTTTTAAAGCTCTCAATGAAATCTCCAAATGAAAAATAGGCATATGTTTACTTATGTATACAACTTACACTCACTTTTAGCTCTAACAAACATGGCAGTACAATAAGTATAGAGGACCATGGTTTTGATATGACAATCTGATGATCATATGTCATCCTCTGTCCCTAGAACTGCATGTTTGACACATGTAACTGTGAGAAGAGTGAGGACTGCATGTGTGCTGCCCTTTCCAGCTATGTGAGAGCCTGTGCTGCTAAAGGAGTTCTCCTCACCGGATGGAGGAGCAAAGCCTGCAGTAAGTTCTGCTTTCCTTTCCTCTTGAAAATGGTCATCCAGAAAGTCCCACACAGCAGCTCTCAGGGATTCCCGCAATAAATTGTGTTAAACTGTGTTTTCAGTATAGCATTTACTTTCAAGAATTTAAGGAAGAAGGGAATAGGATAAAAGACAAGCAGTAAGCAACATAAAAAAGAGGCTTTGTTACATTACTTGCTCAGAACCAGCAAAAGCAACATGGACCTCAATACCCTTGCAATAGGCATAGGTAGGGTGTTTTTAATTTACTTTGACAAAAATATAAAAATAGCAATGAAATAAAAATGCAGTATGCATTAATATAATTGAGATTTTTCTTTCTTTGACCTGGACAAAATATTTGTATTTGTGACACATTTATAGGGGGAAATTCTGCTTTAGTGGAAAAAAGAGCAAAAAAGTTTATACTTCTGAGGATATCAGTAAAGCCCATGTAGATACATTGCCATGTTTATCATATATACTTTACCTCAAATACTGCATTTATACCTACGATGATTCTTAAATGAACAACAAATGTAACTCACTTTTTTACTCTCAAGCAAAATACACCACCTTGTGTCCAAAATCCTTGGAGTACACTTACAATGTTGATTCCTGTCAACCCACCTGCCGGTCTCTGAGTGAGCCTGATGTCACATGCAACATCAAGTTTATCCCAGTTGATGGCTGCACCTGCATAAATGGAACCTACATGGATGAAAGTGGCAAATGTGTGCCTACTTCTAGCTGTCCTTGTTACTACAAAGGAATGCCTCTGTCTACTGGAGAAGTTATTCACGACAATGGTGTTGTCTGGTAAGAGATTTTAAACAAAAGAATGAGATTGGATATAGGCAGTCATGAAACTATACATTACGCTATCTATTCAAATCAAATGCATTTCTGTCCCTGAAGGTTTCAATTAAAAAAATAAAATCACAAATCCTTAAAAACTGCTAGGGCTATTCATGTTTGGAAGACTGTACTTAAGACTGCACTTAAGACTGCACTTAAGACTGCTACAGGAAATCAACAAACCATGCTGTGGTGGGTTATTCCTGTCTGACAGCCAAACTCCTACCCAGTCATTCACTCGCTCACTCACTCCCCACGACACATTTCTTATCCATGACTGTAAACGATTTGTTCCATGGCAAAAGATGCTTGAGAATCTCCTTACAGATTATTCCCATTATGAATGGAATCTGAACTATTCTGAAGGACAGCACTTACCAAAGCAAATGGAAAGAGAAGGCCTGTGTTTCTATAGAATATACTTGTATTTTTGCCCTCTCTAATACAAAATATCATTGAATAGTAGAAACTATTCTGATAAAGGACACATTTTCTCCGCTTTATCACACAGTAATTTTTCATTTCAAATTCATTAGGAAACAAGTGGAAACTTAACAAGGAAAAGCAAAAATATATGCATTTTATTATATTTTTTTAATAGCACTTGCACCTATGGAAAGCTGAGCTGTATTGGCGAGAAACCTGAACCAGGTAACATATCACTTAAGACTTCTTTTAATTCTCTCTTTCCACCTTCACACTTACCAGTTCTCTCTTTTTTGTCATACTGATGCAAATTGTACAAGTCTGAAATCAATCAAGAAAATGAACTGTTGACTTCTATAATGTAGAGGATATTCCCAAAACACCTTTTAGATGCCTGAAACAATTTTAACCCCTTGGGTACCCAGTGGAAAAGAATATTCAGTCACCTTACTGAATGTGAAACCCATCCATATTTTAAATAAGATAAAATAAATAAAATAAAATAAAAATTAAAAAAACTTCCCCCCCAAAATCCAAAGTAAACCAACATCTTTGTTTTCTTGTGTTTTTTGTTTTGTTTGGGGCTTTCTTTTGGTTGGTACTTATTTACTTTTCTGAAAACAAGTGTTTCACAAACTAAGCATTGATTTCTATGAGTAGCTCAAGCATGAGCACAAAACAAGATGAGCATGACTTTGAAACAATATTTAGTTTCTCTTTCTGGTCAAATGCACTATTTTAAGATACATGTATCTCAAAGGAGTCATTTTTATTTTTTTCTTCAGTCAGCATTAAAGAATTACGAAGATATAAATACATGGTTGATCTCACATTTCTCACGGTTTTTGTCTTTTTTCAGTCTGCGTACCTCCCATGGTTTATATTGACTGTGGCAATGCCACTGCAGATGTGGTAGGAGCAGGATGCCAGAAGAGCTGTCAGACATTAGATATGGAATGTGTAAGTATAGACTACGTGGTTAAAAGCATATTAAACTAGACCTCTTCTACAATTACCAGCTACAGTGAGATTCTTCGAACAGGACATGTTTCAAGTCATGTTTTCTATATGGTCCTTACAGTACAAAACACACTGTGTCTCTGGCTGTGTGTGTCCTCATAATCAAGTGTTAGATGGCAAAGGTGGCTGTATAGCTCCAGAGGACTGTCCATGTGTTCACAATGGGAATTCCTACACTCCAGGCGAATCAATCAGAGTTGGCTGTAACAACTGGTAAGAGCATACTGAAAAATAATTTTTTTAAGTATCTGAGAATAGTTTAAACTGTAGGTGAATTACAACATTTCACTCTAGTAGTATCAAAGTCTGCTTGATATCAAGAAGGAATTCTGCATAAGGTGATCCACTTGGTACCTAAAAAGCAAGCTCTGTTTTTCACAATGGCACACAGTACATAAGTTCCAAGTGGTCAGAAGAACAGTATGGTTCGGATGTTGTCATATTCATTCAAGTCAAGAAAGCTCTATTCCTCACAGGCAATCTTTACATTTCAATACATGCAACAATATTTATAGTATTTTCTAACCCAAATAATTCATGACATCATGAAGTAACACAGTCTTTGGATAAATCCCAAAGGCTCTTGAGCTGTGCTGCATTTCTGAGAATGAGCAAACCTTGTTTTTTCATTATGGGCTTAACGTATTTTAAAGTGAGATTGATGTACTTGCAGGAATGTACATAAAAGCAATATTTTATCTATGTCTGATTTTTACATTTGGAGTGCCTTCTGTCTTACGCAGCACATGTAGAAACAGAAAATGGCACTGCTCTGAGGAACCTTGCCTGGAAACCTGTTCTGTTTATGGAGATGGGCATTACACCACCTTTGATGGCAAACGCTTTGATTTTGAAGGAGACTGTGAATATGTTCTGGTCCAGGTAACAGAGTCCTTCCCAGATTTTTGCACTATCAAAGTACCTTGTGTTTTACATGCAACCATATAGCATAGTTAACACTGAATATAATTCCCCTGTTTCAGAACTATTGTGGCCAACAAGGTATGAATCAGGGAACCTTCAGAGTCATCACTGAGAACATTCCATGTGGTACTACTGGAACCACCTGCTCCAAGTCTATTAAAGTTTTCCTGGGGGTAAGCATTTTCTTTAATAAGTTACAACAGGCCCAATGAGCCAGAAGGATAGAACAAGCTGTTCCAGACAGACTGCACCATGGAAGTGTCCTTCAAGACAGTGAAAATTTTACTACACTTCCTTGCTCACTGCTAACAGTTCTGATTTCTGCTAGAGATAGCAAAGGAGGGAATTCTATAGAAGGATTGCTCAATGTGAGGTTGTTGAATGGAAGAATTTTGATGGTAATAGAGTTATTATTTCAAGAACAGTTACTGGCAATATATAAACATATATAACCTAATAGGTGACTTTTTTCATTGGCCTCTATCTTTTCCTGTTTTAGAACTATGAGCTGATACTCAGTGATGGACACTCTGATGTTATCCAGAGGACACCTGGAGGAAAAATGCCATTCCAAATCCGTTCCATGGGTATCTACCTGGTGGTTGACACTACTGTTGGTCTGATACTCATGTGGGACAGAAGAACCAGTATATTCATCAAACTTAGTCCCACCTTTGAGGTACATTTTAAAACCCAAAATCTGTATAAAATTATTTCTGGAACATATTCATGTTATCTCTTGAAGAAAAAAAAAAAAAAAAAAGGAAATTAGGCTGTAACTGGAAGACTGAAAGAGCAGAAATTGCGTATTACTGTCCCTGTAGTGTTGACTTAGGTTGTGTACTACACATTTTCCTTAAATTACATTATTCAGCAATGGCATAACAGCAACAACAAAAGTAGCTTTCTTCATGTAAAGCCTTCACTGAAGAGGCATATTCATGATTAGATAAAACTAATCACCTCAGTGCTAAGAACAAAAACCGTAAGTTTGCTTCCCGTTCTTATCCTTCCTAACAAGAAGTTAGAAACATCTCTTCATGAAAGATATTTCAATAAAATGTCCAACAGTGCTACTGAAAAGGCCTAGATAAACTTAAGTAAGATTCATCTGTTACTTGCAGATACTGTACCTTACTGATCTTTATAATATTTGTTTATCCCCATGCAGGGACATGTCTGTGGACTTTGTGGAAACTATGATGGCAATGGAAATAATGACTTCACTACTCGCAGTCAGTCTGTGGTAGGAAATGTGCTGGAATTTGCCAACAGCTGGAAAGTGTCTTCTAGTTGCCCAAATGCCAATCGTACCAAGGACCCATGCACTGCAAACCCATACAGGAAAGCCTGGGCACAAAAGCAGTGCAGTATCATTACCAGTGAAGTGTTTGCAAAGTGTCACTCACAGGTATGACTAAAACTTGAGTCTTAAATACTCTTGAGCAAGAGTTTACAGTAATTTTTATGTGGGATAGCTGAGAGATACGTTAAAATACACTCTATCATGCTTGACAACTTGTCTTGAATTAGTACACTGAAGAAATTGATACTTGTTTTTTTTTAATAGAAGGAACAATTACAGATAAATCTCAGGATATGTTTACTTTCAAATGGCATCATTTTCTAGTACCATAAATACCAACCACCTGGTATATATGACTGTGTGCTAGTTTGTAGTAATGTAACAGTATTATTTCTGCAAATGTATCTTCAGTATCAGATAGCTCTTTTCATTACGGCGTATTAGTAATAGCTTTATTCTATTTTCGTCTTATTTTTCCAAAACATTCTCATGGTTTCTTCCTTTCCTATCTTTCTCACACATACAGAGTCATTAGTTTCAGATATTTTATTCACTTTTTTTAGAGCAGTGAATGCCTTTTCAAAGAGGACAAGTGCATGAAAACTCAAATGTTTTCTCCAACAGGTTGAACCAAATGAATATTATGAAGCATGCGTAGATGATGCTTGTGCCTGTGATACTGGAGGAGACTGTGAATGTTTCTGTACAGCAGTAGCTGCCTATGCTCAAGCGTGCAATGAGCTGGACATCTGCATTTCATGGAGAACCCCATCCGTTTGTCGTGAGTTTCACCCTACTACTTTTTGAATGGGTCTTGAGGGAAATAAAACAGAAAATTAAAAAAGAAATACAAGTAGAATAAGTAAAGAAAGAAGGATAAAAGTTTATTTGTTAGAGGCACTGCTATATTCTAAAAAAGCAGGAAAAATAAACCACCACAAAGGACATTTGGTAAATCACTGGAAGCTAATCTATTTTCTTAAAATGCAACCATTGATAGTAACTTTACCAGTGGTGTCACTGTTGTCTGATTTACTTGTCAATCATGATACACAACTGGTGAACTACAATATTCTACTACACTTCCACCTGTCTACATGAGGCTTAGTTTAAGTCACTATTAGTGCATACTAGCTAATATCAGTGATTCAAACAATCGATTTTTTCAGGATTAATGTGTAACTCTGTTCTACACTTTGTAACTACTGGTGTCAAAAGGGGGTTGAAGTGTAGCAATTGTATTAAACTAGAAGTAAGGCAATATACTCTTCACCTATGTGGTTATGCTGATCACATGGGATTTTTACCCAGCAAAACAGACAGACTGTAGAACAAAAAGATCAAAGTTCTTCTGTCATTTCTCCTTCCTCTAGCTCTGTTCTGCGATTACTACAATCCGCAAGGGGAGTGTGAGTGGCACTACAAGCCATGTGGAGCCCCTTGTATGAAAACCTGCAATAACCCAAGTGGGAATTGCCTTCATGAGTTGAGAGGCCTTGAAGGTAAACATAATTATGCATATCTCATCCTACTTATAAGATGCTAAAATGCAGTCTGATTAATAAAATTTATGTTACTCAGTATATGACATGTTTATATTAGAAATTATAAGAAGAGATATTATAATTAGTATCTTACTGCCTAATGAATCATTAACTTGTTTGGAGTGAAAAAGAGGGCAAAATACTCCAAAGCTTAATGTGCAATGAAAGGAATAGCAGTAACAAAGTCTGAAATTCCATTACCATATGGAATAATTTGGGAAAAGCAGATAGAAGCGAAGTATAGAGTTGCTTCTACTTGTGAAAGGTCTAGTGTCAACGTAAGTCTCATTTTTTGTATTGCAGGCTGCTATCCACACTGTCCAAAGAATAAGCCGTATTTTGATGAAGAAACCATGACCTGTGTTTCTGATTGTGGTTGTTACGAAAATGGAAAAAATTACAAACCAGGAATGCAGATGCCTTCAAAGCACAATTGTCATTTATGGTAGGATTAGTGAAGATTTTAAACACTTACTTGAAAGTTTAGGAACATAATACATCATGAACTTTTTTGTATCCCAACAGGAACTAAGTCAGTCATAGGCTGCTGAATAATGTCTAATTTTCTTTTGTTTAATTGGTGAAATGCTGAAATACTTTACTATAGAAAAATTAATTTACTAATTATTCTGTACTCTTATTAAAGTACTTTTAAATTAGTATTATAATTATTAAATTAACTTCAACCAAATTCAAATAATAATAGTTATGGCAACAGTCTGAACATTTCTATTAAAATATCTGTAAAATCGTTACGTGAAATTATTTAGAAGGCAACTAATCTTCATTATTTTGAGCTTGTTTCTGTTATTGCACTGGTACTCACAGGTTAGTAACAGTCAGCAAGTATTCCCACACATTCTGTCAGAATTGGTGACATGCTGGGACAAATGCTGTTAAGCCTTCTATCAAGTAACACAAAGTCAGCAGAATCAGTTACCTCCTTTAAACAGCTAAAAGACACCTTTAAAATAGCTACACCTGAACACTGTAAGCCGTCCAGTCAGAATAACAAAGAGCTTAGCATGAAGCTCATCTGAGCTAACCCAAATTTCATAACATGTTTTGCAGTTCACAGACAGCTTTGTCTGCATTGTCAATATCATTAACAGCACTAAACTTAACCTGATAAATACATATTCATATTTAATTAAGTTTATCCAGTGTACATAAGCCCATAGTCACTATAAATAGATATATCAAGATCTAGTTCTTAATAGATAAATTCCCTTGAAAACCAGAATGCATTCTTGCATCTTTTGGAAGTCACTGTATAGAGAACCTCAACATGCATGATAAAGATATCCTTTCTCAGATGATACATTTTCTGCACTTTCGTTTCCGAAAAATAAGTATACCTATCAGGGAGATATAAGAACATTTCAAATCACCCCTCCCCACATCTTCACCCGCCCCTGAAAAGCACCAATAAGGATAATGCATTTTTAGTATGCTGCATGAAAGAGTTGCCTTTCTTGCCAGCAAACTGAGTAATCCTACCTAACCTGAATTTGTACAGCAGAACTCAAAATCTAACTCAGAGAAGATACAGTCTTTCTACATATAAATACAATGAATATCAAAGGATCAGTAGAAAAATTTGAAACAATAAAATTACATCATGAACCAATATATTTACATTCATCACCTCCCTTTTCTCTTTTCCAGTGAATGCACAAATCATGGCAAAAAATGCAAGTATGATGAAGATGGTATGTTGACAAAGTTGATTTTATCTGAATAGGATTCATTTGAGGTACTCTGCTCTGTGTTTCAGATACCAAGGAATAACACTGTCTTTTGATTTACAGAATGTGTCTGCGTTTATGAGGGACAGAACTACAACTATAAAGATGTGATCTACAATACTACAGATGGCACAGGAGGGTGTATTGTTGCAACCTGTGGTCCCAATGGAACACTTCAAAGGACTGTCTATGAATGTCCAACCTCAACATCACCCACAACAGCAACAACATTTCATTTCAGCACTACGCCACCTGCCACTGCTTCCACAGGTACATCCTTTATAGTCCATAAGAATACATTCTACTAATAAGGAGTAAAATAAAGCTACAAAATCATGCTCACACTCACAACATAAATTAATTAGTACAACTTCAAAATAAATAACATTAAGTCTCATTTCTTAGTAGCATTTGGTTTCAGTCAGTATTTTGTAACCAAATTAAGACAGAAATAAACTTAGAAAATAAAACCACTTCTGAAACAGCACAATGGAAACACTGCGCACTGGCTTCATACTATAATTTTGCTTATCTTCATCGTGAAAAAAATATACATTACCTGTAATTATAACTATTTCTATACCTGGAGTAATTGTTACTGAATGAGTAATTCATTATTTTTTTTCTATAAAATTATGGAATTACTGCTTTCCATAAAATTCCTGGTAAGGTTAATGGTATTCATAATTACAGTACTAAGTGGATTGCTTGGATATTGGCATTGAGATACTGAAATTTCTGTATTTAGCATTCCTATTCAGCATTTTTCAGGCTGGTAATCTCTAATTACTATTGCATATGTTGTTTAATTAAAGAAGTATTCAGTATACAATTTAGAAGTTTTGAAAGCATTCAGAAACTATCAGCACTGCTGGAATTCATTAGTCATTTTACAGCCATTTCACAATGAGAATTCACCTGCAAAAGCTTATGGACTGCTCTTCAAACCAATAAGTGCCTTCTTAAGATAATAATGTTCCATTAGACATCTGTTCCTTCAAATAAAGGAGCAAAGACAATGCAGCATTTTGCATGAGGAGACACCTTATTTGGAAGAAAAAAGTGCCTATTAATCTTGATGCTTATAATAAATGTTATTCTTTCTGCTGGACTTGAAAGGGGCTCTGACATTCTAGACAGCAAATGAATCAATTACGCTAAATCAAAGGGAAAAGAAAAAAAAGTTAGATTTTTTTTTTTCCCCAATGTAAATAAATTCTACATGGGAGTTACTTCAACATGATTTGTAAAAGATAATTTGCAACCGCTTAGGAAGTGACAGTTCCAAGCACATCAGTACTTTAAATCGCTGGGTGATGGATTTTATGTTCTACTTTGTATAAAATTATAAGTACACTAAATTGATACACTACAGATTCACAATGCAAGCAAATCACCTGAAGTAAATTTTCAGCCTATTTCACATAATGAAAAACAGAATAGCTGCAGAATTTTATTTTAAGATTTGAAGTCTCTTCTTTATCTCTTTCACAGTGTCTCCAACTACATCAGTATGTGTTCATGAAGTCTGTGATTGGTCAGAATGGTATGATGGGAGTCTGCAAACCCCTGGCTATGATGGTGGAGATTTCGAAACGTTTGATGATTTGAGAGCTAAAGGTTATGAAGTCTGTAAGACTCCACGGGCTGTGCAATGCAGAGCACAGAAATTCCCCAATATACCACTGAAAGACCTTGGCCAAAAAGTAGAATGTAGTACAAGATCTGGGCTTATATGTTACAACAAAGATCAGATTTCAACAATGTGTGACAATTATGAAATCAGAATCTTATGCTGTCAATTTGTACCATGCTCTTCCACAACACATTTCGGCATGTCAACACCAATCACACCACCATCTAAGAGCACAGAAACATCAAGTCCAACTGAAGAAACTACATCATTTTCAACCACTCTATCACCAGTTATTATAACTTCTGAAAGCACGACGTTTGCACCTTCAGCTACTAGAGAAACAACCACACTCACAAGTGAAATGACAAAACCTGTCACCACTTCTCCTTCACCAGCTATTTGTACTAAAGAAGAATGCTACTGGTCAATGTGGTATGATGTAAGTTATCCAGGGTCTGGATATGAAGACGGAGATTTTGACACAATTCAGAACATTGAAAAAAAGGGTTACAAAGTTTGTGATAACAGAAAGGATGTTGAATGCAGAGCAGTAAGGTTCCCTAATACACCATATCCCCTCCTGGAGCAACATATAACATGTAGCACAGAAGAAGGGTTGAAATGCTACAATAAAGACCAACTACCACCCATCTGCTATAATTATAAACTAAGATTTAAATGCTGCAAAAATATAACAGTACCATGTCAGCCAACTGCAACACCACAAAGAACTACACAGACATCAGAAATTACTCCAATTTTCTCAACAGCTCTAATAACATCATCGACAGAAGTACCAACAACACCATATTTACAAACCAAACATAAGGTAACAACAATATCATCACCTCCACCAGAAACAGGATATATTCATACAAGAATAACATCACAACCAACAACAACATCTCAAAGAGAAACACAGACCACAAAGCCATCAATCCACACAACCTACTACTCTACCAGCATCAGCACCCGCACCGCCCCGACATCCTCCAGCGTCACGACCTCCACCTCCACATTCCACTCCTCTACCACGCAGCCCACTTCTTCAGAAATCATTTCGCAAACCTACACCAGCACCACCAGCCCCAAACCGACACCTACCATTTACTACCCCAGCGTCACCTCCTCCACCACCCCGTCCACTACCGCCTGTGAGCCCGAGGTGTGCTCCTGGAGCGAATGGTTCGACGTCGACTTCCCCTCCTCGGGGCCCAACCAGGGAGACTTCGAAACCTACCAGCGCATCCGCGCCGCCGGGAAGGAAGTGTGTCAACGGCCAAAGGATATCGAGTGCCGGGCGGAGGACTACCCCGAGGTCTCCATCCAGCAGGTCGGACAGGTCGTGCAGTGCGACGTCCACTTTGGACTGGTGTGCAAGAACGAAGACCAGACTGGCAAGTCTAAGATGTGCCTCAACTACAGGATCCGCGTCCTCTGCTGCACCCCGAACTACAACTGCCCAAGCAGCACCTCCTTCCCAACCACCAGCCCTACCAGCATCAGCACCCGCACCGCCCCGACATCCTCCAGCGTCACGACCTCCACCTCCACATACCACTCCTCTACCACGCAGCCCACTTCTTCAGAAATGATATCGCAAACCTACACCAGCACCACCAGCCCCACACCAACACCTACCATTTACTACCCCAGCGTCACCTCCTCCACCACCCCGTCCACTACCGCCTGTGAGCCCGAGGTGTGCTCCTGGAGCGAATGGTTCGACGTCGACTTCCCCTCCTCGGGGCCCAACCAGGGAGACTTGAAACCTACCACGCATCCGCGCCGCCGGGAAGGAAGTGTGTCAACGGCCAAAGGATATCGAGTGCCGGGCGGAGGACTACCCCGAGGTCTCCATCCAGCAGGTCGGACAGGTCGTGCAGTGCGACGTCCACTTTGGACTGGTGTGCAAGAACGAAGACCAGACTGGCAAGTCTAAGATGTGCCTCAACTACAGGATCCGCGTCCTCTGCTGCACCCCGAACTACAACTGCCCAAGCAGCACCTCCTTCCCAACCACCAGCCCTACCAGCATCAGCACCCGCACCGCCCCGACATCCTCCAGCGTCACGACCTCCACCTCCACATTCCACTCCTCTACCACGCAGCCCACTTCTTCAGAAATCATTTCGCAAACCTACACCAGCACCACCAGCCCCAAACCGACACCTACCATTTACTACCCCAGCGTCACCTCCTCCACCACCCCGTCCACTACCGCCTGTGAGCCCGAGGTGTGCTCCTGGAGCGAATGGTTCGACGTCGACTTCCCCTCCTCGGGGCCCAACCAGGGAGACTTCGAAACCTACCAGCGCATCCGCGCCGCCGGGAAGGAAGTGTGTCAACGGCCAAAGGATATCGAGTGCCGGGCGGAGGACTACCCCGAGGTCTCCATCCAGCAGGTCGGACAGGTCGTGCAGTGCGACGTCCACTTTGGACTGGTGTGCAAGAACGAAGACCAGACTGGCAAGTCTAAGATGTGCCTCAACTACAGGATCCGCGTCCTCTGCTGCACCCCGAACTACAACTGCCCAAGCAGCACCTCCTTCCCAACCACCAGCCCTACCAGCATCAGCACCCGCACCGCCCCGACATCCTCCAGCGTCACGACCTCCACCTCCACATTCCACTCCTCTACCACGCAGCCCACTTCTTCAGAAATCATTTCGCAAACCTACACCAGCACCACCAGCCCCACACCAACACCTACCATTTACTACCCCAGCGTCACCTCCTCCACCACCCCGTCCACTACCGCCTGTGAGCCCGAGGTGTGCTCCTGGAGCGAATGGTTCGACGTCGACTTCCCCTCCTCGGGGCCCAACCAGGGAGACTTCGAAACCTACCAGCGCATCCGCGCCGCCGGGAAGGAAGTGTGTCAACGGCCAAAGGATATCGAGTGCCGGGCGGAGGACTACCCCGAGGTCTCCATCCAGCAGGTCGGACAGGTCGTGCAGTGCGACGTCCACTTTGGACTGGTGTGCAAGAACGAAGACCAGACTGGCAAGTCTAAGATGTGCCTCAACTACAGGATCCGCGTCCTCTGCTGCACCCCGAACTACAACTGCCCAAGCAGCACCTCCTTCCCAACCACCAGCCTCACTACCAGTAGTGCCACATCTGAATCTTGCTGTACCAGCACTTCTTCTACTGCTATCTCAACACCATGTTTCTGCAAAATAGGCAGTGTCATTTTTTCACCTGGTTAGTTTGATAATTTTTTAGCAGTAAATATATATATTATTATACATTGGGGGGTTTTGTTTAATTACAAGGAAATTTTTCGTTTTAATATATTCAGAAATTTTAGTTTTCATTTTTTATTGTGTTTTTCAGTTTCGGTACTTTTTTTTAATCTTTGGGTTTTTGTGGTTTGTTTTTTTGTGTGTGTGTGTGTCTTACTGCATTTCCTTATTTTCTATTTAGGTGAAGTGATTTACAACCGCACTGATAGTGATGGATGTAGATTTTATGCCATCTGTAGTCCAACATGCACTGTTAAACGACACGCTGTGGATTGTAACGTTACTCCTCCTCTAACCACTACTTCTCCTGAATGGTCTACCGTAACAACAACAGTTCCTCTGCCTACAACTTCTGGAAGACTTCCTTTTCCTGGTTGTGTTTCTGCTACTTACCCTCCCCTTCAAGTATGTTATTTCTGTGCTATGTTATGATTCCTGAATTAAAATCAATGTTAAGTGGATACCAGAAATAACAGTTTGTAGTTTTTAAGTTTTAAATGTGCAGGTTGCCAGGATAAGCATTTCTTGTTGTGAGCAATATAAATGACATAAAATTTTACGTGCCTTCTTTGTAATTTTTTTTTTCACACTGAGAAAGCAAGCTACAATTATCTTTTATAATTAATTTTGTAGTAGTAAAGCACTTTCTGATGCACTGTGTTGCAGAAATGAGAAGTCTTTCTGTAATAATAGAGGGAGTTTTATTGTACATTTTGTTTCAACACTAAATAGGATAATGTAAGCTACTGTGGAGGTTTGTATTAGTTTCTCTTCTTCCTTCTCCCCTCTATTTCTGTACACACTTTTTTTATACAGTGATGGTCTGTGTTGATACTGAAGTACAATTACGTAGCTAATATCAGTTAACATAAGGGGCATCAATTCCCTTAACTTAAGACCTATCTTCCTAGACTTCAGAAAAGGTCCCGATGTGGAATTAGTGTTCCCATCTCCTTTAGCATTAAAATAAATAAATTTTGTAGAATATTGCTGAACTTGTACTATCAGCGAATATTTTAATTTTAGTCTTTCCTTCAGATTTTGAAACCAGAACACATTCTGATCCTCTGTATCATTGTCATAATTATGAATACCTCTGGTCAACATTACAAATCATTAATATCACAAATTTAAGAAAAGTAACACAAATTATATTCCTTTCCAACACCACCGTTACTGGAAACAATATACCACTAAATTAAAAATATGAGTAGAGTTCATACATGTTTGCAAATTCCTAACAGCAATTTTTGGTCATTTTGCAGCCTGGACAAAGATACAAATTATCCAACTGTACAGAACTCATCTGTAAGGGAGACAACAAGGTAGAAGTAATTCCAACGCACTGCCCACCTGTAAAGGAAATTACCTGTGCAAACAAATATCCAGCAATACTGGTACCTGATGAAAACGGCTGCTGTTATCATTATGAATGTCAATGTAAGCACCAGTAGATAAAGGAAAAATCTTTTTTTGAAAAAAGCAAACAGATTATATGGGCATTTTGTCTTCTTAGGGTTCCTCTTAAATTGTAGTATATTCAGTTGAGTTTCTATATTCTTTCTTCTACATTAATTTTCATGTTAATCTTCTAAATATGTTCTCTCTACCAGGTGTGTGCAGTGGATGGGGTGATCCTCATTATATTACTTTTGATGGAACCTACTATACTTTCCTTGAAAACTGTACTTACGTCCTGGTGAAACAGATTGTGCCTAAATACAACAACTTCCGTGTTTACATTGACAATTATTACTGCGATTCAGAAGATGGACTTTCCTGCCCTAAATCCATTATTATTTTCTATAAATCTGCAGAAGTGCTGCTGACCCGTAAACTCATGAATGGTGTGATGACCAATGTGGTAAAATATACTTTTTAATATCTCTATTTTCTGCAAAAAAGAAATAAGGTCCACACGCCTTGCTGATTCTAATTTGAAAGTCTGTTAGAATATTGCATCATTGAGGTGATGAGGGTAGAGGGTATCATAGAATAGTCTGGGTTGTAGGGGCCTTAAAGGTCATGTAGTTGCAACTCCCCTGCCATGGGTAGGGACACCTTTCACCAGACCTGGCTGCCCAAAGCCCCATTCAAACTGACCTTGAACACTGCCAGGTATGGGGCATCCACAGCTTCTCTGGGCATCCTGTTCCAGTGTTTCACCACCCACATAGTGAAGAATGTTTTCTTAATATCTAATCTAAATTAACCCTCTGCCAGCTTAATACCATTTCCCTTTGTCATGACACTACATGCCCTTGTAAAAGTCCCTCTCCTGATTTTTTTGTAGGTATCGTTAAGAAAAAAAGGTTCATAAGGAAAAAATTATCAGAAACAACTTAGTGCTACGCAGATACGAAATTTTTATATGCATGTACATGTACACATAAGTAACACTAGGAAACAGATTAATACAGCTGACAGAGAAGTCAGGAAGAATGCTTACACGGGTGCCTGATTTGTGTTTGATTAAAACCAGTATATTGTGACATTGACCTATGTAAACAAACACATTATTAAGAAATGAATGCAAATCACAAGTGTGATTTTCCTCTCATGCTGAAGACAGGTTTGCATCCCTTATCAGTGGGATGACTAGGTACTGTTTCTTCTGTATAGGGAACTTCAGGCATCAGAGCTATGACATGATTTGCCCTCCAATTCCCTGCTGGGAAGAGAAGTGTAGCTGAAGGAAAGGGGTGACTGGGAGTGTCACTTCACCTTCATGATTCTAAAGTAGTGCTGGCAAGCCATTGAAAATGAAAAGTCAGTCTCACTCCTATACTGGGGAATTTACTAATCAGTTAGAAAACACAAAGAGGTGGGAGGGAAAGTCTGTCTCAATATGCACTCTTCCTCTACAGAGCCATCCCACATTCTCCTTACCTACAGTCAGAAAGGCATGCTGAAACAATTAGTCCAGTGATTCCTTGTGAAAGAAAAAAGTAACTGGCAATTTTAATTCTTACTTTATCCCAATTCAATGAGAAAAAAATTGCAGAATAACTCCTGACAAAAAGTTATCAGGCAAATATATCCAAGTCCATCAGCTCATATAAGATACAGGCTGCAAATGGAACAGTTTAGATTAACAAATAAATATAACTACTACATAAAACTGGCACCAGGAACATACTACTTAATTTTGAATTCAGATAACTTTTCCAGTGCCTAACAACAAGTAGTATAGGGACAGTGTGATTCTGCTCCAAAGTTATTCCATAATAATGGCAGAAATATTTATGTAGTTAAAGAAAACTACCACTCATTTTCATATGAAAAACGTTTACAGTACACAAAACTATGAGAGATACAAAGAAAGTACTTGGATTTAGAATGCTGTGCATTAGCACACAATCTACACAAACAGAGTACACAGAGGCCACTTAGATTATTACCATACTCTAGCTATATAACTATACAAGCTGAAATATCAATGCATATATATGCTATTATTGTGATGGTAATGGGCATTGGATGTGATGCACAACAATATGGAGTTATGTATGAAGATGAAATGAGAAAATACATTAGTTAAAACAATCAGGCAGAAGCAGTGCTTACTCTGAAGTTGTGGTGTGTTTTTTTTTTAACCCTGCATTCAGATGTACTTCAACCACAAGATTGTCAAACCAGGTTTCAAAAAAGATGGCATTTCTTTCTCAACACTTGGCATCAACATGATTGTTGAAATACCAGAGATTGGTGCAACCATCACCTTTAGTGGGATGATTTTCTCTGTGAAACTCCCATACAGCAAATTTGGCAACAACACCGAAGGACAGTGTGGTAAGAGAGATGCACTAACTTGAGGTGGAACTATTTCCCCACCCTACCATGATTATTCTCACCCACTCTGGCTATGCGGTCTCATGATTGGCAGAAGTATGGCAGTAAAATGGAAATAAAAAGTCTTTCTCTTCTACAGGATCAAAAGTTCAGTATTTCATCAACCTGTTTTCTTTTTCTTTGGGGCTGGGGTTTTAGGTTGGTTTGGTTTTTCCTAACCTAAATTAAAGCTCATATAACTGTAAAGAAAGCAATCCCTACAAAGCAAGCCACCTTTTACACTTCATGAACACATCATTTCTAAACATGGTATCAGCACAATAATGCACTGTGCATGTTTGATGTTGTTTATGAGACTTACATAGCTTATGTCTTACAGGAACATGTACAAACAATAAAGCAGATGAATGCCGCTTACCAAATGGTAAGATCATTTCCTCCTGTCCCCAAATGGCTCATCACTGGATTGTTGATAACAACAAGTCATGCCATGGAGTACCAATACCACCAGTTGTAACTACACCTCCACCAAAGCCTCACTGTGGAATACCTTCTCTTTGCAACCTTATCTGGAGCAAGTAAGAAAAAATCTGAATGAATTTACTCTTTCTAGATAAAATACAGTATCTTACAGGAAGAGTAAGAACTATAGCCCTAGTATGTGAAAAAAGCTGAAAATGTCAGCTAAATGACAGGATATATATAGTAAAAGGCCTTTGCAAAGAAACTCCTCTTTTTTGATGACTTCCATGACAAAGATAACTGAGCAGGGAGAGGTAAAGTCAGAAAATCAGGGATGCAGCCAGCACTAAATCCATGCTTTCTGGGTTGCAACTACACAGATATATGCTATCTTCCTTCCTTCCTCCCCCCCCCTGCTCTCCAGGTTATGTTCGTTCACTCTAGTTATACTATTAAGTAAAGACTGAACACTAAATTTGAAGTGGGCCTTCAATAAAATCCGTAAAGAATCTGGTTACCATGCAAGTTAATAGAGCAGACAGAGATATCCCAGCCAAAAAGCTTCCATCATTATTTCTACATTTAATGTAAAACCTGGAGCCCCAAAAGCACAAAGGGTTGCTTCCCACCCTATTTTTTATGTGAGCTCTGAAGAAAGCTTTTTTTTTCAGCTGGGTTACTTATATAGGCCCTTTTACAAATGCTTGCTGTAGTGTCCAAGTTTCAAGATATTCTTGTTAGATTATTCTCTCAGCTGCTTTTATCATCCCTTTTCCCTCAATATGATGCAGTTGCATTTTCATGTAATTTCTCATGTCAGACTGATGAAAAGATCCGTACACACACACAGAAACACTATGACCATTAGCCTCTTTAGGAAAAACAAAAAAAGGAGCTTCAAATTTTCAAACCTTTGATGTTCTAAATCTATCTCCCAGATTACTGGGCATTGTAGGGTCTTGTTTCTTGCAATGCATTACTTCTTGAAGCAGAGAGTCATGTGCCATTACATCTGGAAAGTGCTCTCTGACACCAGATTTTATATATATTTTATATAAGGGGGTTGGTCTCTTTTCTGTCTGCAGGACTTTTGCAGAATGCCATGCTGTAATACCACCAGAACCATTTTTCAAAGGCTGTGTTTTTGATGGATGTCGTATAGCTGATGAATCCGTGCAGTGCTCCAGTTTGGAGATATACGCTACAGAGTGCGCTGCTAGAGGTGTCTGCATTGACTGGAGAGGAAAGACCAACAATACATGCTGTAAGTATTGCAGAACTCAAGAACGTGTGTGTGTGAGAAATGGCAGTACTTAAGTGTTTTATTCAGTAAACACATCTTACACCTAACACTTGACTACTGCCTAAAAAATTACAGTGACATCCTTACTCACAGGAGGTGCATAGAAGAAGGCAAAGCTGTAATAATTTTTCATGCATTTTTCAAACATTCGAAAATGCATACACTGTCAAGTTTTGATCTTTTTTATTCTTTTTTCATACAGCATACAACTGTCCATCAAGCTTGGTATACAAGCCATGTGGACCCATTAATCCTGCTACCTGTGATCCAAGGTATGGAAAGGCAAAAAAAAATTGTTTAAGGTTGTTCTGGGTGTTTTTTTCCCCTATTTTTATTTATCTACTTTCCTTAGGAAATTTAGTTACTTCATAATGAAATGTCTTGTGACTTTGGATATTTTTTCCAAGATATAAAAATATGTTAGCTCTATGAATATGCACTTCTTGCTGAGCTGCAGAAAATGTAAATTTTTTGCCTCCCTTTTATTTAACATGTCAACCTTTTACGTGTGCTGCTCTCTCTCCTCCTTCAGTGCAAAAATATTGTACTCAAATATACACATTCCTCACATTCTAGCTTTGTTGACCTTCCTGGCTATGGAGTAACTGAAGGATGTTTCTGTCCTGAAGGAAAGACACTCATGAGTGAAGATAGCAACATCTGTGTCTCTGAATGCTGTAAGTGTCTGTAGCTAGTCTGGGGAATAGAGATCCAGATTGATAGCCAGGTGGTCTGTGTTCTACTGCCATCTTCTACATAGTCAGATCATGGGTCAATCAACTACCTGAAGCTCCTTTAACCTCCTCATCTAAAAATTGAATGATAATATTACCCTTTTTTCTTTTTTCCTTCTTTACATGAGGCCTACCAAGAAGGTAGAATTCTACATTTCAGAAGAAGAAGTCTGCATATTAATTTTATTGTTAGTTTTATCTTCACAGTATTTCTATTTGAAACCGCACAAATTTACTCTTTTATGTCAGTTTTCAGTGGTGTATATCTTCATTCCTTTTTTTTTTTTTTCTCCAGCTTGCAGGGAACCAAATGGAGTATCGAGATGGGTAAGTATCACAATCAATGTGGCTTATAAAGCACAGACAAATAAAGCAAAAGGATATTTAGCATTTCATGAAGTTTTGCTTAGGCTGGGGAAAATTTTAGGGTTTGTTCAAATGTTTGTTCCCATTTAGTCTTAAAAATAATTGGGAGTGTGTCGTGGTTTAAACCCAGCTGGAAGCTAAGTACCACACAGCCACTCGCTCACACCCATGTTGGGATGGGGAGGAGAATAAAAAGAATGTAGACCCCATGGGTTGAGATAAGAACCGTTTAATAACTAAAGTACGATATAATACTACTACTACTACTCCTAATAATAATGATATGGGAAATCACAAGGGGAGAGAATATAAACCTAAAAGGAGAAAGGAAAAGAATAAACACAAGTGATGCACAATACAATTGCTCACCACCCGCCAACCAATATCCAGCCTGACCTGAGCAGGGATCTCCCCTTACTGATATCTCTCCCAGTTTATATACTGGGGATGACATGCTGTGGTATGGAATACTGCTGCGGCTAGTTTGGGTCAGATGTCCTGTCTCTGCTCCCTCATGGCTTTTCATGGCCCTCCTCACTGGCAGAGCACAAGAGACAGAAAAGTCCTTGATCAGGGTAGGTGCTACTTAGCAACAACTAAAACATGGGTGTGTTATCACCATTGTTCTCAATGCTAAAGCCGGAACACAGCACAGCACCAGCTAGTAGGAAGAAAATTAACTCTATCCCAGCCAAAACCAGGACAGAGTGCCAGAGCAGAAACCACATTATTCCCTAAGAAAAACTAACAGTAAGTTAGGGGATACTCTTTCAATAATCCACCTCACATAATTAAAGATTAAATAATTTAAAAAAAAGGCAAAGAGAAAAAAAATCAAACCACTAGATGGTAGTAGTGGAACTTTGGCATATGCGCTGCTTTTGTTTCCACAAGTTTGGCTACCTAGAGTTACTAGGTATGAATGGACATATATATAGCAAAGTTTACCTGTTGCTTGATAATGTTGATAGTCTATATTATAAATTCCTCAGCTGCACACAAGTTATAGGAATTTCTCTCTGTAACACAATGTGTAAATGAGTATGTCGTATGATAATTTCTTATTAAAAAATGCATACAAAGCTCAATCACTTCTCCTTTAGACCTTTTATATCCCTCATACTAACGCTACTAACAAATAGAAAATGACAGATGTGTAAACATACTCAAAACCTTCAGTGGCTTCCAGTAATTCCCTCCTTAGCTTCAGTTTGAAGGTTTTTTATAAAATCTAAATATACTAGGAAGATGAAAAGGTTGATGTAACCAGGTATGACTGTACCCATGAATAAGTTAACAAGAAGCAAAATTTTGGTTTGAATTTTTATATAACTTTTTCTTCCTTTTTTTTTTTTTTTGTTTGTTTGGTGTTTGGGTTGGTTTTTTTTTGTTTTGTTTTGTTTTTGTTTTGTTTGTTTTGTTTTGTTTTGTTTTGTTTTTTCCTTTTTTATATAGCCAGGAGAAAAATGGATGAAAAACTGTCAGGAATGCATCTGTGACAAATACACTCTTAAAGTACACTGTAAAAAACACAAGTGCTCCCTGACACAGCAAGTATTTTGTGATGAACCAGGTTATATGCCTGTTCAGACACAGATACCAGAAGACCCATGCTGTACCAGGACTGAGTGCTGTAAGTGTTTAGTTCTTTATCATGGGGAATATATATTTTTAGGCATGGGTAATATAATTTTGGGCAACTACAGCAATAATTTCTCATTTTTTTAATACTCTCTATTGTTTTCATAATGCTTTTCTCCCTCATCCCATTTGTAAGTACCTTAAGTACCTTCTTGCAGAGCATTTACTAGATGCCTGAAGAGGACAAATATAAAGATGAAAAGATTGTCCATAGTTAGACACAGAAAAGTAACTGGAAATCTTCTATTATTCAACACTGGAAACTTTTAAAGCTGCTACCACCTGAAAAAAAAATAATATTCAAAAGCTATTTAAAGCATTTTCTGCTTCAAATACCAGTATAAAAAAATATAAAAAAATCAAAAAGTCTTGATCATTTAAAAATTGCTCAAGAAAGTTCCTTAATCTTTGAGATCCATCAGATTTGCCAACTGATACAAATTTCTCTTTGGAAATACCTCTTCCTAGGAATCATCACTTTATCATTGTTAGACAATGCTTTGTTTTACAAATGTTATGCAAATGCCCATTCAGTTTAAAATAGCTGGGCAAATACACCAACTTAGTCATTAAACTAGCTTGTGTAAACACACCACATTTGCTCCATAGGACAACTTCTGAAGTTCATGAAAAACAGAATTACTTTTGTTTAAAAATTCTGAGTTCATTATTTTCTATACTGTCTTACATTAAACAGACTGCAACACTAGCCTCTGCCCTGAGGTCACACACCAGTGCTTAGAGGGACAGGAAGTTGTCACAATAATGCAGCCTGGAAAATGCTGTCCTACCTTTGAATGTAGTAAGTACTATGCACCTTCTTCATGTGCTATTCACAGCTAAATTTTTCTAAGTTGATGAATACAAGAAAATTGCAAAATATGCAAATTATCTGTGTCTCCATATTGGGCCAACAAAGTAGCAGGTTTTTCACATACTTCTTTTCCTAAAACTTACACTTCTATGACACCATCTTTCCTCCTTCTTTACAGGACATGGCTGCGTAGTCAATGAAACCTACTATGCAGTAAGTACACAGAGTAACTCAGTACATTAATACATATTCACATAGGTTCACAATGCAATGTTTTTGAGACTCTTAACGTGAACCTTATTTTGCAGAAAGGCCTGAGATAAAACATCATTAATAATTTAATCAAGGTCAGGATATCAACACCCTCCCTACAAGCAAAAGCCTTTTTTGCTCTCGTTTCTACATTAGCAGAATTTAATTCCAAAATTGGTATTGCTAACAACAGAAACTCTGCTCAAATAAAATAACCAAATTGTATTTAACAGTAAGTTCATCTTTGTATTGTCTGTGATGTACATACACAAAGTAACTTGGTTTTACTGACTAAAAATAACTGTTTTTCTAACTTCCCCCAGCCTGGAGCTGTCATTCCATCAGGCTCCTGTGAAGAATGCACCTGCTCTGAATCCTCCCACTCAAGCCCCTACCAGCCTATTGTTAAGTGCAAGCCAGTTATCTGTGACACATACTGCCCAGTGGTGAGTGCTCTTTTGCTATCAGTAATTCCTACCCCATGCAGCTCAAATATCCATCAGTTAAGGTCAGTGCCCTTACTCTATGTCATTTCCTTTCTATTTCTTTCAAAACAGGGTTATAAGTATACAAAGAAACCTGGAGAGTGCTGTGGCATGTGCAAGGCAGCAGCTTGTATAGTGACTGTAGGAGACATCACACGCGTGCTCCAGGTAACTACCCCTGGTTTAGTTCAATTTTGGTGAACTCTGGTAGTCTTTCACTCTTTCCTCTCCTTGTCTTTTAGTCACATTTATTTGCTGAATCTTTCCTCATGTTAGACAAATGGTTATTCAGGCAAGCAACAGACTGCCTCACACAGCTTGAACAAGTACTCTGAGCCATGTAACTCCAGCTCTAACACAGACTTCTGGAAGCAACTGTGATATTTAACAATGACTTTCAGAAATCAACACAGAAAAATATACAGGTGAAAGCAATGGGCCTTTATTTGCCTTCATCTCTGAAAATACAGCATCCATTTTGCTCAAAGGATAATTTTATGTGAGCAGACAGTTTTCTGCTCCAGACAGTCAATTTCAAGATAGCTTAGAGATTTAGGACAGGAGGAGTCACTGAAGTCAGCAGAAATTCTGCCATGTATCTGAATGAACATACCCATAAATTCTGACGACAAAACCACTGACACACAAGTTATTCTTTGCAAATGAGTCCACATATTTATCCTATTCACACAAAAAGCATGTCCATATACACATAAAATACAACCTTTTCACATGGTTAATGAAAAAGACTCAGAGTAGCATATGACAAGTAGCTATCAACTGAAATCCAAGGAAATTTTTCTGAATAATAAAAACTGCAGTAAGCAGCAATGATAAGACACTGGAAGAATTATTCAGTAATTTTTAACTGCTTTCAGGTTGGAGAACTCTGGAACCCACCTGTTGATAACTGTACAACTTACACATGTGAAAAAAATGATGACCAGTTCATTCAAGTTGTCTTACAGAAAAGCTGTCCTCCCTTTAACCCTGATGACTGTGATCCAGTAAGTTGTCTTCTACTAGTTCTCATGTTTGAAAAGGTTGCAGCGATAGAAGCATCATGATGCCCAAGGAAAATACCTAGCAGATGCATCACACAGGATGTAGCTCTAATTTCAACCACCCTGAATCTGGTCCCCATCAAATTTCATTTCAGAAAAGCAAATTAGAATTACAATGGGTGATATATATCAATCCTTACCAAGGACTAGGTACAGCATAGTGTCTTGGATTCCTAAATGTGTCAGGTGACCTAGAAGCAAAAATCTTATTGAAAAATCATGAGATTTTTATTCCTAAATTATTTACGATTGTAAATTATTTCTTAGAATTCATTTACTGAGAGCAAAGGTGAAGGAAAATAAACGATTTCCGTTCACATCATTTGACTTAATACACCTCAGGGCAGATTAGAACCAGCCCCACACATCTGGGTAATCAGTTATTTCATTAATTGCATTACTCTGTCTGACATAATCATCTGTATGACTTGGATCACTCAAAATATCCCACATGTGCTACAACTTGCATTTCTGAAATTCTACTGCTCAGCAACCCAACTCTGACAACAGCAAAGCAGTTCTGGTTCCCCTCAATGTCAGCTTTCAAAGAACTCTTATTAATATTGAATAATATTAATATTGAAGTAATTACGTGCCCTTAATATTTAGTCTTGTTGAAATTAGATTCTGGTGCTAGAGAAACTTAGGAACCAAGAGAAGTCACTGCTTTAGTACATAGATATGAAACTTGAGCATCTTCTTCTGTTTTCCTACTCAAGGATGACATTAAACTATCTGATGATGGCTGCTGTAAAGAATGCCAAGTAAAACTAAAGAGTAAGTAATGACCCTTTTGTTAAAAGTAAGTAATGTTAATATGTGTCTTATTAGGTATATTAGTCCATCTTGAATGAAGAGGTGAACAGACCTAGTTTAGGACCACTGCCCCCCACTGGGCGGAGAAAGGAAAAAAAAAGGGAATCCAGCATTCACTTTAGGGCCTTGAAAAACATGGTTGTGGTGAACTATCCCATCCCCTACTGTCAAGTGTTAGCCTTTTCATTGGAATGAGAGGACTATAACTATTCTCCAACTTTCATAGATACACTCTCTTTAAGGAAGAAAGAAAAGCCAATTCTGGGAGGTGTGTGTGCATTGAGCAGTTGCCATAGTGCTGCTTTTTATTTCTGTATCTTGCACCAAAGCTGCATAAGCGAAAGGGAATTTTTCACTCATTGATAATACAAGCAGCAAGTCATTAAGACCTGCACTGTGCTCTTATTTCCTATTTTAGCTCCATCTACCTCTAGTAGATCTACCTCTAGTACATCTAGTTTTCTGCTAAAAGCTGTCTGCCATACACAAATAACTATTTATATGCACATGTACTTTAACCTATTTTACCTTGGTTTGTGACAACCTCAGGTTGTATAAAGCACAATACTACTACGGTAATCAAATATCATGGATGTGTATCTCCTGCACCAGTTGAGGTGGCATACTGTGAAGGAAGCTGTGATGCTTACTCACGGTAAGTGGTATAAAAACATAATTGTGGTCTCTTATTTTCTACTCTTTACACTAGTTACATAAAGAAAACCACAGGTAGTATGTTCAACATCTACCCAGTAATCAGCTGTTTCCATTGTGCTAATAAGAATTTTTAACAGACTTGATGTTGTACTAGCTTAATTACCTCAAGACTTACAGTGTTTGAACAGCTTCTTCAGTGTCATAGTGAAGAGACCTGAGTTTTGATTTTCCCCATATAAAAGTGAGGTTATTTGTTATTCTCTCATTTTGTACTATCTTTCTGTGTAATCTGGATTAATTCATTTACTTTTTCTGGGCCTTAAGGAAGAGCTAAATCCATATATATTTACAGTGAGGAGCAACTTATATGTCACTACAATACTGTAAGAATGGTAATATTGAGCAATAGTTCCACACAACTTCTGGTTATATTTAATAATGGGTGGGAGGGGCAGTGGTATTTCTCACATAATTTCTGATTCTTTCTCTTTTGCTGGTTTTGCAAATCAGATATTCTCCAGAGGCAAATATGATGGAACATAAATGCTCATGCTGTCAAGAAATCAAGACCAGCCAAAGAAAAGTGACTCTGACATGCAGTGACGGAACCTACCTTGATCACTCATACACCTATGTGGAGAAATGCAGCTGTGTGAGCGCTGAGTGCATTTCCCAAGTCAGCACCCAACAGGCAACAAACTAGATAAAGACCTCTCAGGAACAAGCAAATGTCCAAAATTAGAACTAGAGAAAAGTCATCACACAAGGGTTGAATGTAAGACTAAAAAAGAAAAACTGAAAAAACACAAAAGTGTTAAAAGCAGCTAAAATTTTGGATGAACATATGATATTTTCTGCATAAAAACTCAATATGACTGTCTACATTATTTCAGTTTTCTTTGCTAATTTATCTCCTATTGTTTTTCATGTGTTTTCTTTTACACCTTGAGAGGTACTGCATAAGGTCATTTTGACATTTCCTGATTGTTTGTCTTCTCAGAAGTGCTGTACTGTAAGACTGAAAGCTGGATTTACACTTACACGAGTCTGTTCTGAGAACAGCATTCTTTTCTGGCTTGAAGCTTGCCTGTGGCGGCATAACATGGACACTTGACAATATCTAATATGTCCATTAATGTAGGCTGACCTTTATAATGACACTTTCATTCCAGTTCATTGACACAAATCAAAAGCTAAAGTCCAGAAAACAAACCAACCCAAGGAAAACTGTACCTCTCTGTTTCTGTAGTTTTCTTTTTGCATTACAGAAAACTTAGACTGCAGGAAGCCATATCTTCCCAAAACTATATACTTTAACATTTTGAAAAATTTATAATGGGCATATTTGCTTATACATTCTCATAAGAACTCTTATCATGAGAAGCTGCTGCACCCTACACTTTGTTTACATAACACCATCATCATGGTAACTGTATGAAAATATGGAATGTTTTTGTTTCTGATTAACTGTTTACAGAAGTATACATATATATTTTTTTGCCAACAGGGCATATGAAGGAGTTTTGTAAAATAATAATAATAATAAATAATAATAATAAATTCTTTCCTAGGAAGCTTTTAAAAGTTGAAACATTGCTATTTATTTTGTTTTTGGATAATTGATTTATTGGGTCATTACTTTCAGAATTAATAATATTCCATTTCTTATTCATGTTATCTGGGTGTGGCATATTTTTGTCTTCTGTTTTGTTTTGAAATATTTTTTCCTTATGAAAAAGTAACAATGATTAATAAATTTTAAGCATTTTACATGCCTTCTTTGACTTTTCACTGAATCCCTCCCATGAGAGTTGATGGCCCCATAAAGCATTTGCTTCCCTACATCCTACTACAGCCATTTCCCAACAGCTCCAGGTCAAAAGTCAATCTAGACTGTGGTACCTCACCCCCTACAGGGCTTTGATATTGCTTGTAATGAGAGGCACTTAAAAACAAATACTGAAAGTGTTCCAAGCACATCACTTCAGATGCTATCAATTAGCAAGATTTCAGTAAGCAAGCACATCATTGAACCTGTACATATATTGTAGCTCTGAAAGTTCTTTACCTGACACACAGAAACTATCCAAAGTATCCCAGACCAGTTAGTCTCCTATTTATACATAAATCTCAAATTCATCAAATCTCAAATCTGAAATTGCACAATCATAGATCTACAAGTTTTGACAGGTTACTAACCATCTTTATTTACACTGTACTTTGAACCAGCCACCACAGATCTGACTGTAGATTGTATAACACCAAGCAACATGTTCTGCACAATTTACAAATGACATTTACAAATGACAAATTTACAAATCGGTAGGGAGAAGAGTAGAAAGTTAAAGGTGATGACCTTTCTCCTAGCCTACAGTTTGGACAGTTCAGCATAGGGAATAAGAGGTTAACAACATAGGCTTTCTGCAGGTGCCCAGTAACAGTTTAGGCTGCTTTCTCACTTGTTTTTCTTTCGTAGAACAAAAACAGCTGCTGTACCTCCCCACTCAGAGGTGAGCAGAGTACTCCCTAAGGAGTTATTACCTCACTGTCTGCTTTTTTCTGTTGATAGGCTCTTCTGCTTCCAAATGAGGTCCCAGGTAGATAGCATACTGCTCTGTTCCACTAGGCTTCCCAGCGCAGCACTACTACTGAATTCATGACTGATTCGTGAGTGACAGATTCTCTGGCCTTCCCAGGCATGCTAGTGTAGGAATGAGGCCTGAGGTTGTGAGATACGGTGGTGAAGGAATTAACAAATCTTGGTCATTTCAACATCCTGATGGGGGTGATCAGGCTATCAGGTGGAGGCCTGAGGGCTCTTAATGCTCCCACCTCAGCCGGGTGGAAGAGGGAGAGATGTGATTCACCGTTCTTTTCTGCCCTTGCACAAGACCCAGGGCCCTTGAGCAGCCTGACCGAAGGCAATTGAAACTATCCCTCATTTACATATAAAAAATGCATCACAGTGAGAAAGTGTCTGCACCCCCCATCACCTGTGACAGCAGCAGCAGGTAATTTGACTACAGTCTCATCTCCACTTCTCTCAAAAGGATGAATTTGGCATTTCAGCCCCTCTGTGGTAGAGGATGAGAGTATGACTCTACAGGCAAGTTGATGTGCTTGCTCCTCTCTCCTCCCCAGAGCACGGATTTCCCTTTGGCAATGTTTCTGTCTTTGACTACATAGGATGATACTCAGGTGGGACTAAGCTTAATGAATTATCAACTGTTTTTTCTATATGAGCTCAAGTAAACGCTTGCTAGCTTTGGATTTTAGTAACAATGCAGTAAGTGAATTTGCCAATGACAATTCTGAATCTGTATTCTTATTGCTTCAATGAACAGCACTATTCATGAATCCATAATCATGAAAGTTCTTTGCTGAACATGACTGGATGTATAATGTCAAATTGGTTATAATCAGAAATTAAGCTCAGCCCCTCTGATCTCTGAGGACTGACTGGAACAATAGGGGTGTATTTTCTGACTGAAATAACAGATCACCTCCATGTTGCTTCAAGATCATTAGCTGTTTTTCCATGTAAAGCCTGTATCTCAGTATCCCAGCAGCAACCCTCTTCCCTGGAAAACTCTGCCCATATTAAGTTTGTGGCAGCAGTCACTTCATATAACTCTCTGAAAGAAGAAAAAACTAATATGATGGGGAAGAAGGGAATAACAGACGCATAATATGTGGCACATGGGAAGACTGAGAGGTGATAATGACAGCAACAGCAGAGGCCAAAACCAACCTAGAGTCTGATGGCATAAGAAGGAGGAGAAGCAAAGGAATAGGCAGACTTTGGTCCTGGCATGGGGAGACAGAGAAACAAGGAAGGGAAACATGGAGGTACACAGAACCTGTAACTGAGGATGTACTGGAGACGCTGCCCTGGAGAACGAAGGATCTGTACCACAGATACAGACCCAGTGCTGGGAAAGAGCAAACAGAAATCCACAATTCAAAAGAAGAGGGGACAACATGCTTTGGGCATGAAAGAGCTAGTGGAAGGACTTGCAGGGACTCCCTGAAACAAGGCAAAGAGTAAATGGAAAAACAGACAGCTGCAGTGGATGTAGTAGACAAGCCTTACAGGCTTCCTAAATTTTCCTTTACATAGGACCTATCTTATTGCTGATGCAGACTGGGTGACGGCCCCAAAGTAAGCCTTTCTAAAAACTGGGCTGAATGATATCAGTTATATCTCTTAAAAATAAATCATCAATTTTTTAAACTGTAGATAAATAATAAAGTCAATAAACAATTAGCTGGAAGAAAGTAATTGCCGTGGTAGTTCTTTATTGACGCTAGTCAGAACACTATGCAGGTCAAGCTGAACTATACTAGTGCAGATTATAAATGTCTATTATACTAACGCTAACACTAGAGGGCTCTAGGCTCCCACTTAAGCCTTTGTGAAAGGGTTTTCTGTCAAAAGGGTTTCTTTCAAGGAACTTCGAAGTGAACCTCATAATAACTTTCAAATCGTTAAGATAAACTTTGCTCTTAATTTACTCTTGATTCTACAGGCATCCATTCCACATAACATGCCAAGACTTGCTTATATGTCACTTTATTTTTTTCTTTCTATCTCATCTTTGGAACGCAGATAAATTGTAGTAGATAAATCATTCACTTCGGAAAGAAATTATTCCAGCTGTATAAAAATTATTCATAGGTTTTTGGTCTTATTTCAGTATTGGCTGTCAGCAGTCCTTCCTTGGGCATTTCTACACTCGCTCCCCGCTTAGGACTCCTATTACATAGCCTAACTACTGCATGAGCAGCTTATGTTTTTCTCTTTTTCATACAGCATTTCAAAACTCTACAGTGTAAATAAGAAATCACTAATAATCACTCTTCAGCTCTTCTTTGTAATCATCAGTAATGTATAAAGTATAACCTGAAATTATTTCAGATTTACAGCCTAGGAGTCCACTTCAAGTAATCCATTTGGACTGTTAAAGGATGACAGACAGTTTTTAAGACCCATCACATTCTAAAACATCTATAGAAAGACTTGGGACAATGCAGCAGCAGGGCTGACAAAAGATCATTCCAGATTGGAAATTACTCTTGATAATAACAAAGCCCAACTCAAAAGAAGGAAGCTTTCTTCCTCTTCAGTCAGTTTTTGTTCAGAGCAGCTCTGTTGTAACCAGACAAATTAAAACAGTTGTAGAACAGAACAAGAGACTAGTTCTATTTTAACATTATTAATGTTATAATAAACCAATTAAAAATGTACAGAAAGTGTATTTTTGCAAATGATGCAGTGCTCATGATTGTGAAATTTTCTTTTGCTCCTTCCTATTTCAAAATGTATCTTCCTCTTCAGTCTTAGATTCTTTTCAGCATTCATTGTAACTCTTACTTATAACTACAATGTGGTTGTAAGGGACCAGCAAATGTTTGTACTTTTACAGTAATTGTTGTTACTAATTACATAGTTAAAATCTTTTAAATAGACAGAAATTTTTCTGTCTGATAACTCCTCCTCTCCTGCTGTTATGCTGTTACAGCCATGCATGCAAATAAATTCCCACTTTTGCCTCTGTTATAAGAAAGCAAAGGCTGTCCAGGCAGCCAAAAATGGAGCCATTAAATGTGAACAATGATAGATATCTCATGCACTAAGTCACACAAAATGCTGCAGACAGCTGCATGAGTCTAGAAGCCAACCCTGAAATTAATCATTCCTTCTGCACTTGCCCCAGTCTTCCTGTGGCTGTTACTGGCTTTCACTGAGTACAAAAGAACCCCCCAGAAGCATTTGAGGGGAGCCTGATTCTAAGGTAAATTTGGAGCTAGCCTAAGTTTTGGAACATACCAGATGTGAACTCTGCTCTCTCACTCAGCAATGAGACAGTCAAAACTCCACTTTATCTGTTCTCTAGGGAGGTTTTTATCGCATGGTTTAATGTCACGCTTACTGAGGCACATGCCTGCAAACTGCAACATAGGCACAATATGAGAACTGGCAGCTAAAATATAACAGTAGTTGATAGAGAATCATAGAATCATAGGCTCATAGAATCTGCAGAAAAGGCAATAAACACCACCATGGAATGACCTCCTGCCACAGCAGAACTAACTTTCTTATTCATATTAATTGGTAGTTGCTCTGTATTTCGGAGAATGAGATTATTCTACCTGATACAGTTCTATTAGTTGCTCTACTACTAATGCTTTTGTGCTCTATGACCTCCTTCTAATGGAAATTCTGGTCCATTATTCAGATATCTGCTATTTTACAGGAAATGAGCATTGTAATTGCACTAAATATGTGTTGACTGAAGATAACTCAAAACAATACTGAATCACGTCTCATGTCAAAGTGCAGTTGCATAAAATTCATAATACTGAAA